CTGTCACTTTAATTCTATATGAAAAGTTTGTCCAGTCAGTTTGTTTTTTTGTATACAGACACCTACCCCTGTTGCTAACCATACTATATCCATACAATTTAACTTACGTTTCTGTAAAGTTATAAATACATGATTAAGAATAGATAGTTTCCCTGTTTAACTGCATGGTATATGAACGTACCTCCAGCAGCAAGGTAGTCTGCTATGCAATACCTATAATCCTTGTTAGACCATTTTGGACATTTGACATCAATCAACAAAATAATGAGCACTATAAAAACACATATCGGAGTGGCTAACACTGACTAAGGTTTTCACAGAAAATGACTTACTTTCTTAGTATCTATTTTCTCCTCTTTGGCAGACAAAGCAGCGAGTCCTTTTGATTTACCCACTCCCCACTGTTTCTAGGCTGCATTGTTTTCCATTACACTGTTCAGTATGATGGCATCTCACTTTAAAGAAGCCCATGATTGATTTCTGCTCTGTCATCATGAGAGGGTGTTTCAACCTTTCACTCTGGTGGATATATGAGCATCTGTTTTCAATCCAGAATCTCAAAGCTAGGACTATTTTGTGCTTTTTTTTTTTGACAGTTTGATACAGTACTACTCCCAGAAATCATCCATGTTGAATTATCCGTCTCCATAAAATAGTAGTGACCATCTTGTATGTGTGGGATCAGTTGCTTTTAATGATTGTAAATCTATCACCCAAGTGTGAGTCATGCACTGAAGCACACAGTATATTGTTCTTATGTTCTGCCTTAATGTTCCAGATAACTTCTGAACAGATAAAAGTTCTGGCTTGGATTTCGTTTTTTTCAAGTAATTTTAGCCATGAAAACCTGTTGATAAATCAGAAAAGCTTTCAATCTTAAACGTTTTTCAAAATTTGTGGGATTTCTTCTCTCCAGACAACAGATATTGCAGTAGACCAGTGCTTCTCAAACTTTTTTCAGTAATGTACCCCCTTTGAAACATTTTCTCAGCCAAGTACCCCCTGACCGATCCCGAACATTTTTGATCGAAAAAGCCTATATAAATAATTACAATATAGTGATGTTCCCTCAGTGTGTGATGTATTAACTCCTTCGTGGTATGCATTACAACAAACTAAGGATATTTTCATTTTATGCATGAAAAAAAATAACATAACACTTTTATAAAACAGATTTTTCCAAGGAGTTTTTCAATTTAAGTAATATTTTATTGTGAAAAACTATAAAATACAATACACACATTTGACATGTTTATATGAGGACCCCCTTGGTGGTTCTAGGAATGTTTTATATACAATTGTGTTTTCTATTTTACTTATTTTACTAAGATTATTTTTTTAATTAACCTTTTTTTTTTTTTTTTTTTTAATCTCACGTACCCCCTGCATTACCCCAACGTACCCCCAGGGGTCCGCGTACCCCTATTTGAGAATCACTGCAGTAGACAACAACAGCTTTGTGTGTGATCTGCACTTGACCCTGTCCATAACCCGGTGTGTCTCGCCAGGTTAAGGGAATTCGGGGGTCAGTGGAGGGGGGGGGCTGGTGACAGGTGAGTTCAGGTATGTGGCTGCAGACTAACCTGCCCCTCACCATAGGATGTTTAGTCTCCCCAAAGACATATCCGCAGATAATTATCAAATCCAGAAAAGCCAAGTCAATAGTAGTGTCTTTAAGGAGGATGTTTTCCATGAATAACCTTGGGAGACTCTATCAGGAATTTAGCAGCAGAGGCAATGTGATAAGAGCTGGGTTTTGTGCTTGAGGTTGCGCCATCACTTAGAGGAAAATATTACACCCCCAGATTCACTAACAATGATTTCATCAGCGTTTATAGCATTCCACGATTTATTGTGTGTTGAAACTGAGTTTTCTGTTTACTCAGCTTTCTAAATGTGCAATCTGTATCACTTTCTGCTTGTTTCGCAAGAACTCAGTCAGCAAACTACTTTTTTTACTTGAGGATTTTACTTGTATACATGTGGGATAAGTTAGCTGTTTGTATATTATCTGTAATGTTTTACTTCAGTATTTAATAAAGACAAGTCCTCAAAACTGCTGTTGGTGGAAAGCTGAATTTCATCCCCAATTAATATCAATTGTACTGTAAGTATAACAGTATGGCATGTTCCTCGTTGGACCAGTTATTCATATGGATGTGACAACAAAGCAGTATATTAGATACAGGAATGCCCATGTGAAGTATTTAATGCAAGTCAGGAGGAATATGAACTGTACTTGGGATTTGGTGATCATTCACAGAATACATGTTAAGTTCACTTTTTTAGACTTGCTCTTATTCAGTCTAAGAGTCATCATTCAGCTTTTACATACTGTATTTAATTGAACACGTCATGCAGGGCACATGCACGGGACTAAATATGTGCCACCCACCTTTCCTAGATGTCATGCGATGTCAGTGATGTATTGTCTTAACTTTTTAAATGCCTCTGTGATGTGCTGCAACCCATTTTCCCCTCGGGGACTAATAAACGAATACTATACTATACTAGCATGCTTTGTCTCCTGGTGGCTCGAGCCAGGTGATCTGACCAGGAATGCACTCGACACCAATGCAACTCTTTGGCCTTTTACAGGTAACCAAGCGTGTCCAGCTGGGCTTTTCTCTCCTGCCTCTTCAAATGCCACATAAGAAGAGACCCGGTTGTGTCTCACAGGAGAGTGTTTCTTCATAGAGTAGTGGGTTGTTTGTGGGAGAGTGTCTGCTTCTTCTATCAGAACAGTAGTCCAGTGTGTGGTTTATTATGCATTGTGCAGCCTTTGTGGAAACAGTTTTCCTCCCCTTGTGGAAAACACTAAGTGCTTTGTTTTTGTATCAACATGGGTCTGCACTCATCTGTGTACAGATTTCCCAGATCTTGGATAAATGTGGGAATTCCCAAGCTTTATCTTGCCAATTCACCTCATAAAACCCCCCAAAATGAACAAAGCTTTTCATAACAACAAATGTATTTCCTGGTAGACGTGGATCGGTGCTGAGCGTTATAACAGAGGCAGAGTGCGTTGAGAAGCTCTCTCAGCCAGTTGTGGTTTTGGCAGCCGAGCCGGACTGACCTTCTCAACTGTGAAACTCTGGGATCTGCTTCACATTTGCACCTGTTGGGACCATGAAGGATGTAAACAAATGTGACCAGTTGTCTCTGAGTTACTGTGACTGAGATTCGTTGCTGCAAATCCTTCACAAGAGAGCAAGCTCTGTCTACTTTCACCTCACCTTATTTTCTCGGCATTTCATCCTCCTGTTTCGTGCTTTACTCACTTTTTTCCCGGTTCAGTCAAACACGTCATAACTCTACCGTTTTCCAGTATCAGTTGTCAGTAATATATGCTATCGGGAATGCATAGAAAATGAGGAGATTAAAATGCAACAAATGTCAGATAGTGGAATACATCTTTAACTTATTTTTTCTTGAGTGGTGAAAACTGGCTGTGTTGAGTTCATGGACCTGTGCAGTAAGAGGCTGTTGTGTAAGTTGACCCATGTTGAGGCTTGAGCATGATCTTAGGATCTTATCTGCTAGGCACTAGGTGGCTTCTGATGGTGGAGTTGTTCTGAAACTGTGTGTGTTTGTAGGGATAAAGATCATCTTAAATCTACAAGAAACTAGCTCGCACCAGACATCTGGGATCTCTCAACAAAGTGGGTTTTGGTTGAGAGCAGTTCCACAAACTTGTGTTGTGTAATACCAGAGAGTATATCTACATATTTGTTGTTGGAGGAAAGCAGAGGTATTGATTGGGAAGAAGCTTACTATGTAACTTCTCACTTGTTTTTCCACTTCCTTAATTGTGGTAGTACTGAAATTGGAATTTCATTTGTTCTGCACTGTTGACACTCTTAGACATCTGATCAAGAGCTCAAACTATTAGCCCATTAATCAATACGTTAATCAAAAGAAAATAAACATGTTACGATATCACAATGGTCTCTATTGACCAGTTACTGATATCTGAATCAATATTTACAACGATTTGCCTCAAAAATAAAAAGTTTGGTTCGGTATTTATTTGATATAATAATATTAATACATTTTATATAAAGCCATATATTATAAAGTTACTTTTTTTACCTTGGTAGATGAATGGCTTCTATGGGCTTCATGTTTGTCACTGACTACTGTTTGTTATTTGCATGTCCCCTTTATGGTTTAAATGTAAGCAAAACAATACATTTATTATTCAAATGACCTTTAGTATATAAAACATATTCAAACATATTCTGAAGTACTTTTTTCGTTTGTGTTCATTTATTTGTCAATCATCTGACAGCTGCTCTGCTCTATATCCTCTTCAATGTTAAGACATGGTCTGCACTGTTTCAGTATCACTCACAAACACAGTGTGTGTCTTATCGAGCTGTTCAACTCTGTTTATTCTCATGTGTTTATGCTGGATTTCTCAGAAAGAGATTGGGAGGTCCGTTATTTTTATTCTAATACTCCCCAACTTTCACTAAGCTCAAATACTTTAAGTGCAGAGACCTCATCCATCATATTAGTTGTTATGATGAGGGTTTTTTAATGACAGGATTTGGATGGATAAATCTTGTTCATTTTTCCGATTAATTTAATTCAGAAATATTACTTCCTTGAAGTCGATTCCAAATAACTTGCCAGTAGGAAATGTTTGAATGCACCCTGGTATTTTATTCTGTTTCGTTGTCCAAAAGCAGCCACAGAAGAACATCTGCAGATTTTCTGTTTGTTTTTTCCCTTCTAGTTTCACACATTTCCAAAAAAAAATCAGATTTGACACAAATCACGTTTTCTTATATCGGGATTTTGTCTGAGCCCTATGCAAATACTAAGAAAACATATTCTTCTTCTAATTACAAACTCACTAATTTCACGTGTCATTAATGTTTTTGCCTAACTACATCAGCTGCCAAGGTGAATTTGTGCCTCTGTTTTTATGAAGACTGTTTTATCATTCTCTGACTAACATCGCTTTTTCCTTCTCCCTCTGTTCTTCTCTTTAGTTGAAGCAGCCTCACAAGGCAGCGGCGGCGGCTCACACTTACTTCCAGGCCAACCCAGAGCATGTGGAGATGAGTCAGAACCTGGAGCAGTACAAAGACCTGCAGGGCGTGGAGGAGGACCACTTTGTGGACCGAGAAGCCCGGCCTCACCAGGTAACACAGAATCTAGAAACGTGCACACTATTATTTATTATTTAAGTCAATTTAATCTCTTTCTTTTGTTATGCCTTACCTCCTAGCACTTGACAATCATGCCTGATCATGTTTAAGATAATATATTTGACCTGTTGGCATAGTTTTTCAATCCTGGCCAAAATGTCTGAATATTTTTTTTGATTCACCTCTTTGCTGTGCGACGAGTTATTGAACGAGTATGAAGGCGCCTTTGTGTTAATGGCCCTCAAAGTTACTGACTGGAAACCTCTTCAGACATTTAAGTGCTGTCCTGCTGTTAAACCCTGACTGCCGTAGAGTTTTGGATCCTTTGTGCTCTCATTTATTTGCAGAGGCATATCTCTCTTTCTCAAGCTCCAACTTGTTTGACAGTACGTTCTCAACAAATCTAACAACTGCAGTATGGAAGCAAACAAGAGACAGAAGTATTCGAATTGTATTAGACACCGAATTTATAGCATTGAAAATAATTACTTTGAAAATCATGAATCTGAATTTTTTTTGCTCCGAATTTATCTATGTGAAATAAAAATGTAAAAATTCAAGTTAAAAAAATTCGAATGTTCAAATTCAGATCCCAGAAATTCAAGTGAAAAAAATTCGACGTCAAATATTTTGGTGTTTAAAATTCGATGTAAAAAAATTCGGTGTGTAAAATTCGACGTCAAAAATTGCGATGCAGCCTCATCCGGGCTACTCAGACAGGATAAGCAATCGAGCTCTAATGCAATCAAACCGACTTCTGGCCTATCAGAGCCAAGCGGCAAACCCCGGGACAGTGTGGTGAAGCCCAATGCTGCAAACTATAGGCGATGGATGCAGATGGGAGCAATTCCCGTAGACCCTATGTTAAAATGTCCAACTTAACATAAGAAAATGAACATGTTTCTAGCCTGGATCTACAAAAACATATTCTGTATATAGTTAGATTCCCCCTTCATGACAACGGGACTGCTGCTCCTAGCTCCTCTGTCTCACTGTTAGCTCCGTGATGCTACAGCGGCTCAGCGCATGAGGAGAACACTACTTGAACTCGGCCGTGTTCGTTGTGTTGGCTCCTGGTGGACTATTCGTCCTGCAAATATAGGATTTATCTGCGGTTGAAACAGACCGTCCATGAATGCAGTTTCTTCGGTAAGTCAACCCTGCGTACTTTATGTTATGTTACTGGTGTTTTTATTAAGCTAACGTTAATGAATGTTTAGAGTTGGGTTAGCATTTGAGCAATCGTAGCTCCATCTGTGCTAACGATGCTATGCGTAGCATCCAAGAGTGTAAAACATTAAGTGGGATGCTACTGTATACCAAAAGGATTCTGTTCGAGGTTGCTAAAATAAGGTCATCCTTGTACGTTAGATAGTTAGTTTGCTATTTAGGTTACTGTATGCATTGTTAAGGTTCATTTAAATTTGCTATGCTCTACTATAGCATAAAATAGACTAGCTAACTTCAACGTATTGTTGAAGAGAGGCTTAGTGTATATTAAATCAACCTCACAATGAAATGTGTGTATCTTTAAAATATGAACGTCACATTTCAAGATGGTCCAGAAATAACGCTCCCTTAGATATTGTAATATGGTTTGTTGAACTGGAGTTATTTATTGCAGCTAACCGCCTATCCGACGAACGACCCAAACATTGTTGTTTTTAATATTATTACCAATGCCTCTTTTAATTGTATTATCATCACACTTGAGAAACAGCCTTATCGTGGCTGTAGAACAGAACATGTAACTTAATTCCTGCATTTAAGGACGATGAATAGCGTAGTCAATGCTTTAGTGACAAGGAAATGATTTGTTTAAATATTATATATGACGTTATCTGTGACTTCAGTGGAAATTAAGCTTATCCATTGCATTGCATTTGTTAAATAGGTTTGTGTCTTACCCTTACGTGTGTGATACATATGAATATGGCATGAAAACAAATTAATTTGACTGACTCATGAAAACCTCATCCAAAGTAACAGTAAAATAAAAAGGACCTACACAATAATACTCAATCAAACTGATACAGTATAAGGACTGTGATATCCAGCAATTTCTTAAGTATAACAATAAGATTATGACCTGTTTTTAAAAGAAGATAAAAAGTAGTTTGCATGTAAAGAAGTCTGTAAGCCACGCATGTAACTTTACATCTGTTTGTTCAAAGTGTCCTTAAGGTGATCCAGACAGGCTGGACCAGAGGAGGAGAGACAGATCTGGACTCCTAACAGCAGAGAACTTCAGCACGGATTCCAAGGTACACCCTTTTCATACTTTGCAAATAATGCATAAAGTAATGACTCTAATACACTGATATACATGCCATTAAACATGACTGAATACTAGATCACCCACACATCAGTGATGTTGAGTGTACTTTCTTAGCAAACGGTTACATTTACATTTTACCAAGCAACATCACTTTTTTGTTCAACTTTCACATTTCAATGTATTTAAGGCAAATATTATTGAACATAGTGAGAGCTGCGACCCTTTGTCTTTCAGTGAGACAACCGGACAGAGCAAGTTTCTACAGTTGCACTAAGTTTCGATAACAGTTAAATATTATTTTAATAATACATTTATTTCAATGTTGATGAATTTAGAATGGTTTATTCATAATCTGATTATCTTTGTAGTACACTGTTGGATTTAAAAAACACATTCAAATAAAAAAATCATTATATTTATGAACAAACAAACACACCTCTTTCTTAAATAACACACTTGCTCTGCAATAATATGTTTTTTGATATTTCTGTTAGGAAAGGACATGCCTGAGAGACAGGACTGCTTCACCATGTTCTCTTTCTCTGAGGGTCCAGAAGAACATCCAAGAGGGAAAGGAGAAGCTGATGTGATGAGATTTAAGGGCAGTACAGGACATTCACTAAGAGACACTTATATTGTAACACAAAGACCTGCACACTGAATAGTTTTCTAGTCTAACAGGAACTTCATTTGTGTTGTTTTGTGTTTTACGTTGCACCTCAGAGATAGTGTGATTATTGTCAGGCCTATAAAGTTTGGCAAAAAAAAAAAGTCAGCTGATCAAATGCATTTGCCTCACTTTATGAGCTTCACATCACTTGTGCCTTGTACCGTAGAGTTTGCAACGTCATAAATAAATGGTGCCAATCTTCAGTCAGATGTGAATGTGTAATCTAACATTTTCAGCAAGATTAACGGACAAAAGGAGTGCAAATACAATTTATTGAAATGTGAACTAAAAGTTATCAAGCATGAACCATCACCATTTTTTTTAAATAAAAACGAAATAATATACATAAGTTACACTAAATGTTAATCTGTTAATTGACAGGCTAGGCCTGTGCAGGTGGTAACAGCTATGCCCAGCATGGGCTAAGTTCTGTAGGTGCAGCTGGTGCAGGTCCTCCTCCATCAGGTCTGGTCCTCCTCCCTCAGGCCTGCAGGGTCTTTCCCTGCGAGGAGGATTCCTCGCAGGGAAAGACCCTCAGCCCTCTCTGGCCAAAGCAACAGACAGGACGTTCATAAAGCTGAGGTTTCCCCCAAAGTCTCTAATCATCCATCCTGTGAATATGAGAGGGGAACAAATAATGTAATAGATGCTTTGGACAATAAGAAATATAAAGTTAACTGTTGAGTTGCTCAGTTTTTTAGATTGACAGGGTTTAATAACACAAACAAAAGGAGAGAAATAAAGATTGGTCTTTCAATAAATTGTGTTGATTTTGTCTTTTGAATTGTTTGTCTGAAGTCAAGTAGCTAGAACTGTTACTTATAGTTTGAATGATACAGTCTGGTTATAATGTTTGGAGGAGGCATCACAGGTAAGAGCACCATTTGTTGTGTTCCATCCACAACACATTGATGTGTGTATTTATTTATCTACTATTTCTTGAATTATTACTGTCAGTCCAAAACAAGAGATTTTGTTTTGGTAACATTTTTTTTTTAAAACATCTCTTTTTCACTACACTATCTTGAATACTTTTTAGTTTTTACGTCACTACATTTATCTAACAGCTTTAACATTGTAAAGGTGTCACTTCGGACTAATTATGACAGCATGTCCTACTCAGAGCCCTAGAGTCTCTAGGGCTCTGGTCCTACTATTTTGAGAGGTTGAACAAACCAGACCTTCATCTATTAATGTAGAAAATAGTTGGCACATTACACCATTATGAAAGTAATAATTAGTTAGCTCATTGTTCAAAATGAGCTCCAACTACAACAGTTAAGTCAACTCGTGCATCGGTAATAACAATAAATCAAATGATATAATATAATAGTATAACTTGTGTCTACTTTAACAACACTTTCCTAATTATACTAGCATACTTTTACTAAAGTAACATTAACATGTTAAAATGCAGGGCTTTTGTAAGAGAGTATTTCGTATAGTGTAGCATGGTCTACTTGACTTATCTAACCGAAGTGATCGTTACGTTACTTTGCAAACCGTCACCCCCAACCAACCAACCAACCCACACACGTTGTGATTCACTTCAATTAATGGTAACGGAGCTTGCTAACAGCAAGGCACAAGGCTACTTCACTCATTTAGCTAGCTAATGTAAGATACAAATGCTGTCGAGCCCTCACTGCTTGTAAAATAAAGAGCACAAACTGACTACTTACCCGAGCGGCGAGCCCCGCTGTTCTCCGTCATTTTTCTCCCGGGTTGTTGTGATCACATGACTGACAAAGCCGTGCTCTGATAGGCCAGAAGTCGGAGTTGCATTAGGGCTCGATTGCTTATCCTGTCTGCGTAGCCCGGATGATGCTGCATCGCAATTTTGGACATCGAATTTTATACATCGAATTTTTTTCCTCGAATTTTTGGGAACTGAATTTGAACATTCGAATTGTTTTCACTTGAATTTTTACATTTTTATTTCACATAGGTAAATTCGGAGCAAAAACATTTAGATACATGATTTTCAAAGTAATTATTTTCAATGTTATAAATTCGGTGTCTAATACAATTCAAATACTTCTGTCTCTTGTTTGCTTCCATACTGCAGTATCTTATTTATACCAATTTAACCTGAATTAAACTCTGAAGTATGACTGAGGATGAGTTTTTCAGTATCTATAAGTTGCTTTGGCAGACATTCAGGCTAAGCCATCCCCTGCTCCTTCTGTTTATCCCCAACAAATGATCATGCAGGATGTTAAAACATTTTATGAACTGGCTACAGGTTTAACTTTACAAATATGTGCTCATGTATAACAATCTCAATACACAAACATATCATAAATAACTTTACTGCACACTGGAGGTCATAAATACTCATCCCATCATTCCTTACTCTCATGATTCTTCCATCTCTCCTCTACCACAGCGCTCCTTTGCTGGAGCAGTGAGCTTGTATGATAAAGGCGAACATGAGGCAGCCATCGCTCTGTTCGAGGGCGCTCTGAGGGAGTACTATCAGGCCGACTCCGAGTGCCGGGCCCTGTGTCAATGGCCCCAGAGGTTTGAGGGGCACGACTACCTCCTCTACCGCTACAGCCTTTATGAACTCGTTTCAGGTAAGAGCCCACATCTAAACAGGTTTATTTCCGCAGAAAACAGTTATTGAAATGCTTATATACTCAAGTAAAAAATGGAATGTTGATTTATTTATTAATGATGTTGTTGCCCTTAATTGGGACAGATTTCAACTAATACCTTTTGTACAAGATGCTTGGGATTTTCTGCATAAAGAGCTCACTGATGTCATGAACAAACATACACCTGTGTGAACGGTTAAGGTCAAAGGTCAACATCTCCCTTGGATCAAATCTGAACTCATCAGTCTCTTTAGGGAAAGGGATAAAGCATGGTCGATATATCGTCATTCAAGAACTATAGCCGATTGGGAAGTATACAGGCATCTTAACTAAAACCAAAACCCGAAATGCTAAATCGAACTACTATAAAGAATCTCTCACATCGGACTTATATATATATATATATATATATATATATATATATATATATATATATATATTTAAGAATCCCAAGCAATTTTGGACTAAAATCAAATTTATTTTAAATAAATCAGGTAAACATTCTATTAATAAAATAAGAACTGCTGATACAATAATTCATGACCCATTATCCATTGCCCAAATATTTAATCAGCATTTCACTAATGTATGTTCCACACTACTATCTGACTCCTATTTGACGACTGGTATTTCTAATAGTAACTCATACTGCAACAGTTATTTTTCTTTTAAGAAGATTCTACCACACGAAGTTCATAATGCTATCACTGAATTAAAAGTGGATGGCAGTGCAGGACTCGATGGTATAGAAAACAGGTTCATAAAATTGGCGTCCCATATTCTCATGTACCCACTTGCTGATTTGTTCAACCTGTCTTTGTCCACCTGTGAGTTGCTGACTATTTGGAAATGTGCACGCATCATTCCACTGCATAAAGGTGGTGATTTACTTGATACAAATAATTATAGACCAATCTATATAATCTGTTCTATTTCCAAAGTGTTGGAGAACATCATTTATAATCAACTGTCACATTATCTCAATACTTATAATATTTTATCTCCGGTTCAATCTGGTTTCAGGCCTAATCACTCCACAACAACTGCCCTACTTACATTTACGAATGACTTGTACTCTGCTGCAGATGATGGTGAACTCACGGGTGCCATTTTTATTGACTTGACAAAAGCCTTTGATTTCGTTGATCGATATCTGCTCTTGGATAAACTTCACGGCATTGGCCTTTCTAATAATACAGTGTTATGGTTTAACTCGTACCTTCACAGTAGAAAGCAATGTGTGGTTGTTAATGGAAAACAGTCTGACCTGTTGATCCAACAAAAGGGTGTATCCCAAGGATCAACTCTGGGCCCACTTCTGTTCTCTATTTACATAAATGATTTATCTTCTTGTCTCATTAATTGTTGTACTCACCTTTATGTTGATGACACTGTCATATATACATCCAAATCTGATTTTTCACAAATTCAGATCTCTCTTCAATCGGATTTTAATATCTTACAGGACTGGCTATCACACAATAAACTACTGCTTAACAAAACAAAATCTTATACCATGGTCTTTGGTAACAGGCAGAAGCTCAAATCCAAACCTAATGTAGTAATAACATGTAAGGATGGCACTTCTCTGCATAAAGTTGATAGCTTTAAATATCTTGGTGTATGGCTAGACTCTGAACTTTCATTTAAACTACATATAAAGCATGTAATACAAAAAGTCAATTATGGAATCTGTGTTTTACACCGCTCTCGCAATTGTTTTACGCTCAGTGTCTGAAAGAGAATTGCTTCTCAACTTATTCTTCCGATTATGGACTATTGTGATGTTGTCTACCAAAATGCACATAAATCAGATCTTGCTCCACTCAACATAGCCTACAATAGACTATGCAGATTTGTTCTTGGTTGTCCTTTTCGTACACATCACTGCACAATGTATAACCAACTTAAATGGCCTTCTTTAAATGTAAGAAGACACACGCATTGTCTTTGTCATTGTCAGCTGATATTTAAATGCATTTATCTTAACTATCCCCCTTATTTAAAGCAGTATGTTGTACCCTACTCGCCAAATCATCAAGTTAGGCATTCTGTTCAGATTTATTTCTCTGTCCCCTCTGCAAAAAAATTGATTGGCAGAAGAGCGTTCATTTTTAAAGCCCCAACAGACTGGAATACTTTACCTGCTGCTATTAGATCTCTTGCATCATTGGGTATGTTTAAACATGCATTATCATCTCACTTTCAACTGGTCTGTACTTGTTATTAATTAAACTGATATTGATGAAACTGATTTGCTCGACTGTCTCTCAAATTGTAATGATTGTATGCATTGCTTGAATTTTACTTAGACTGTATGTGGTTTGTCTTGTGTGTCATGTTTTGCATTTTGTCTTTTTGTTTATGTATGTCTGTAAGTTGTTGCTATTGTCGGGACCCCCTTGAAAACGAGATGGTGCATCTCAAGGGGTTTATCCCAATGAATAAACATTTCTATATAAGTAGCACAAGTCATTTCCACGAGATGTATAATCAGGGTGTCCGCGGGGTCTTAAAAAGTATTAAAAGTTGATCAATCAATTTAGCAAAATTAAGGCTATTAAAAAGTATTAAACGGCATTTTCCAAGGTATTACATTTTGTAGCTTGTTTTCAATAAGTATATAAATTGTCCAAAGAGGTTGTATTCTACAGTTTGCCTGAATGTAATCATTGCGTAGGTGTGTAGTGTGATTCTGTGTAGTTTATTCATGGCATCCCATTGGGTTTGACGTCATCTGAACAGGACATCACACGCTCACTGCTTGATAGCGCGCGAAGGTCCGTTTACGCCGGTTGTTAAACAACATCGTTATGGGGAAATGCTAGTTTGCGTCCAAATGGTTGGGAGATAAGGAGGAAGGACAATCAATACTGTATATAGTAAATGTTGCGCCAATGTAACCGATTAAAACTTGAAGTGGCGATGAGGTCTTAAAATGTATGGAAAGGGTCTTAAAATGTATTACATTTGACTTCAGGATTCCTGCATATACCCTGATAATGTAAATCAGCTATGCTTAAAATGGAGTTTGGGGCATAAAGGGGTCTGCTAAATAATTTGCTTGGAAATATATAAAATTGTGCTGTATCAATAAAAAGGGCATTATCTACAAATTGGGACCATTCAGGGCAATATAAGCTCTGTTATTAATGTGATACAAAGGAATAATCTCATTAATTTAAGGGGAAGCACTAACTGAAAGTCAGCTTTGGACTGGTAAATGTCTGGATTTATTTTGTATATTTAGAGAAACCCTCAAATAAAAAAACAGGGTTATATTATAGCTGTAAAATCCCAGAATAAATGTTGACAATATGTGGATGATTACATTACATTACATTGCATTTAGCTGACGCTTTTATCCAAAGCGACTTACAATAAGTGCGTTCGACCAACAAAATACAAACTTGAAGAAAACAGAATCATATAAGTACATCAGGCTTCATAGAGTAAAAACAGTTTTCAGTCTGTGCCGGAAGGTGTGTAAGCTATCTGCTGTCCTGATGTCAATGGGGAGCTCATTCCACCATTTTGGAGCCAGGATAGCAAACCCACGTGTTTTTTCTGAACTTGGGTCCCCTTCGCAGCGAGGGTGCAGCGAGCCGTTTGGTTGATGCAGAGCGGAGTGCACGTGCTGGGGTGTACGGTTTAACCATGTCCTGGATGTAGGAAGGGCCAGATCCATTCGCAGCATGGTACGCAAGTACCATTGTCTTGAAGTGGATTCTAGCAGTTATCGGAAGCCAGTGAAGGCAGCGGAGGAACGACGTGGTGTGGGAGAATTTAGGAAGGTTGAAGACCAGCCGAGCAGCTGCATTCTGGATGAGCTGCAGAGGTCGGATGATGTGTTGGAGTATTCAGCTGTATCTATTCTTTAAAAGGCAAAATCATAGAAATAATGAAACAGCAACACTGTTAAACACATTTCTATTTGATTAGAATCAGGACTTTTTTTAATTTAGGGTGTGATTTCAGTTGTTTACAGCCTCTTTGTGTATTAGATCCACAACATGTTGGTGTTGATAAGACAGCTGGAACCAAGTAAACAGTAACATTTAATCATTTCAAGCTGTAAGGGTGATTTTTCAATCTAGCTTCATCATTCATTATTATATTTAACACTTTATTTCCAGTATGAGCTGATTCTAAATTGATCCCCTCCTGTTCCAACGTATTAAGAGCTTTCTCTGATGTTCTCAGCCTTCTGAGAAACCCCACCTTTCTGTTTTCTGTGGATTTGCAAATACCACTTCGTCTTCATTTTAGACACCGCCCTCTGACACTGGTTTCATAAATCCTGTCTTTAGTTTTTCCTAAAAGCCCCAAAGGTCTATTACAGTCCTGGATGAAAGGAAGGAGACTGTTTAGTTGTGGAGCATTTTGTCAACTTATAGTGACTGCTCCCCCAACACAAGGATTGCTCTGCGTGGCTCAGAGTCCGAGCTCGGCTGTTGTTGTACAGATTGAGCCTGGGGACGCTTAGACGAGGCAAAACAACGCCCTTCACGCTCACTCGCTGATCAAATCTCCCTGGCAGTGGCTTGGCACTGGATGGAGGTTGGCACTGAGGCAACATGCAGAGGAGATAACAGCCATGAAAAAGAGAATATGTGTTTTATTTTATTAACGGCATGTGTTCTTAGGAATAGGATTTTTCCCTAGAAATATTGACAGTGTAGGCTTTTCTGTGACAAAGTTACTGTCCCTCTATAAGGAAAAAGACTGTTTGTTACAGTGAAGCTTCAAATAATGTTGTCAATATCCATATTCATTGTTCTTTTGGAGTTTACTGGCACTCTACCAGTTCCACATATTGAAATGCAGATATGTATATGATGCTGATTTGGCTTGATTAACTTTGCAATACGATGTCTAACTATAAACACTTCAACGGAGATTCATGACACAAATCAAAGCAGTGACAGTACAAAGTAATCTCTTGGAAAAATGAACATAACTAAGGGACACCAGGTCCTCTAAACAGATGCAGAAATATTTTGTCCACTGACTTCCTTCAGTTGTTCTTTGTTATTCATTGTTGGTTTCAGGGAGGGTTTGGGTAGTTGCATTTACTAGAAAACTGCCTCCAGAACATTTTTGGTTTTACATTTCTATTCAGAAAATGTGAGTAATCATCACAGTACTCTAATATAGACCACATTACAGGCCCTCTGGAGTCATTTAACTCTACTTATAATGCTATTCAGACGTGTTGAGCCATGGTGCAGAAAGATTCATGACACAATAGATATCCCACAGATTTAACTGGCGGTTGAAATCAATATATTACATTTGGGAGCATTGAGTTTGCACTGTATGTTGTTGGCAACCTCTCTACACCGATTAAAAACAATAAATGATTGTTCAAAGTCTCCTAGAAATAAATCAAATAATACAAATAACTGTAAGAAATAACTTAAAGGAAGTTCAGTCCAAGCTTGAGTTTAGCGTCAATGTGCTTAGGGATATTCTCTGAGCAGTTTATAGTTACAATCCTGGGATTTGGTAGACATGCTCTATTACATCCTCAACCGTCCAGGAAACAGCCTGAGTGCACCCCCCACCCCCCTGTCTCACTTAAGGACTAAAACGCTCTTCATAACCTCACTCAACCTTATTTCTATAGTGACACCTGAGGGCCCTTTCTTGGCATTTATTCTTAAAAGGACATTTTGGTATTTATATAGGCCTATGTTTTTACATTATTTTTTTACAAACTGCTTATGCCTAATCAATCTGTCATATTATTGTTTGCTTTTTGATAGTATATCTTATTAGGGACTTTTCAGGTTTTAGAGCTTCTTACTAGCCGACCTTGCTGTTGTGTTTCTATGGAGGGGGCACTGACACCCGGCTGGGCGTAAGCATACCCTCGGCATCGCGCACCTCATGAAATTGATGCAGAATTCTGCGCAAAAAATGTGAAGTAATTCAATTTTTACCTCAAGTAGACATTTTCACTTGACCTTTCGTCAAGCAACTGCTGTGCTAACCGACACAAGCTAGCTGATGTAATGGAAGCAAAACTTAACAATCTGTTTTTACCGATCACCAAATCACATATCATGTTAATGCAGCTTAGGGATATGATTCAAAACCAATGCCTCCATCAGCTTTGCACGGATGTACAGTAAACCATTAGTAATTATGATCAAACAGAAAAAAGGCAGCTGCACTGCTCTCAGTCTCCACCGCTTAGTTTTCTCTCCCTCTCTCTGCTGCTGATCTCTGCCCTAAACAGAGAGCAACGTAATGACAGAGGTCACTGTGAGACAGTTCACACTCAGCCCTGCAGCCGCTGGCTTTCATCAGACTGGCAGCCAGAGAGGGAGCCTCAGCGATATCTCATCATCGAGTGTTAGTCATACAGTTTTAATGAGCTTCATAAATAACAAGCAGTAAGCATAAGCATTTTATGTACCGCTTTAAGATCTTACCTTGTTTACAACATGCTGGAAAGCCAATAGGAGTCATGTGGGCCTCAACTATCTTCCTGCAGAGAATCAGATGTTTTTGATGTGGCGGGATATGTGTATCCACAGCAAAGCATCAGATCATGATTACGTGATTACACATTTAAACATACACATCTACTTTGGTCAGTCGGGCTTTTGATGACACGAGTCAGTCCTTTCTGGAAATCGAGGCGAGTTTTGTGCAGTAGCCGCAGCTTAATTTCTGACAAGTGTGCTTTGTCTCAAAAATGTATGGCCTGGTTGCATAAACACAGAAAACCAAGGGCAATTAGTTTTGGCCATGCTTTGTTTTACTTGCAATCAAGGGATTATTTTCCATAGCACCACGGTAGAAAAGTCTGTGATTATGACGTTTATTTATGTTGAGATGACCTGTATGCATTTATTGAGAGTAATATAATCCGCTTTGTGGGTTTAATAAAAGAGAAAGTTTTTCCTAGAATGACTTCCTTATGTTTTGATCTGATTTGCAGAAGAAAAAATAAGCCCCTTACAGTGCTGCTTGATTCTGGCCTTAAACATTTCATATTTCAGCTCCTCTGAGACTCAGCTCTGCTGTCTGAATACGAGGAAAGTAGCACCGCAGCTGCTCAAAAGTGACCTCACTGCATATTCACGCACAAACACACACAAACATACATGCTATCATCTCTTCGTCTGTCTCTCCTCTCGACATAAGGCAATGATATGTAACACGCTGTACAACCTGTTTTCCCTGAGGTGGTGATGAATCCCGTATTTTGTCGAACCCTCAGGAAACACAAAGACATGAAAGCACTTAACTGTTATAAAGGGAACAACATGTAGTTGATCTACTTCACAGCACCAGGGAAAACATGCTGTTGGACATGCTGTATTTGATACAGATCATCAATTCAAACTCTATCCAGTGTTTTCCCCCACAAATAACAGATACTATAACAAAACAGGACAACAGGTAACAAAATATACCACTGATGCGCTTTAAAGAGTTCCTATTGTGCTTTTGAAGTTTTCATTTTCCTGTAGTGTGTTATATAGGTTTTTGTGCATGTAAATGGTCTTTAAAGGCTAGAATCCCAAAGGTCCTTTTCCCACACATTCACCCCCCCCCCCCCCCCCCCCCCTGCCTGAAACGCCTCCATTAGACTCCTATGTTTAATTATGTTAAACATAGGCACTTCTAATGGCTAACGCTACAACACATTGTACGTGATAGGCTAAGGTGCGGACATCTCTCAGCTGTTGACCAATCACTAACCAATCAGAGCGGACTTGGCTCTGGTTTCAGACAGAGGGTGAAATCTCAACATCTGTTTTTAAATGCAGTTTTTGTTAATTTCAGTTTAAGGATATGTTCTCATATTTAATAGTAATCTCTGTAGTATACTATACAACACAAATACACCATCAGCTAGTCAATGTCGTTTTGTCTGACAAGCAATTCATTACTTTCAGCTGGTTTGGAAATGGTCCTTTACCCCTGAGCTGATATCACACCAATGATCTCAGCAGTGTTAATGGCTTTGGTCTTCAGACCATTTGTAATAGTCTCCGTATTGCACTGGTGCATTACGTTACCAACAGACAAAGGTCCAGTGGTATTAGTCATACTGAATATATAAACTCTGTAATGGAAGCTGATAAAAAATACTGGTTTGAAATACCTGGGCCTGATCAAATCATTAATTCAGTGAAGATAACAAATCTATTCCTGGAGGAGTAATCTCAACTCTGTGGCTCTACCTGAAGTTTCTTCCTTTTCGCCTCCAAAGAAAATGTTCTTTTCAAGGTCAAAAAGTTATGTTATGAGAGCATTGTAAAGCTCTTTAAGACATTTTGCAAAAAATTTGGAAATGAGGAAATGTTTTAGAACCATTCTGGAGAAAAGTACTTTGTACATGTTCCTCTGCACTTTTGGTGCGGTTATAAACTACTTGCAAACACGACTTTTCCATTTACATTGTGGATTACCAAGCTTAACTGAAAAAATGTGCAGGTTTTTGTAAATAAGAGTTTACTATCAGACTGCTGTTTTGTTTAAAATCCTGAGCTCCCCTCAGGTATAGGTGATAGTAATACTGTCCTTAACCAACACACAACACAACAACCACAAAAAGCCAAATGCAATGCAAGATTCTGCTTTTTATCATTAAGTTAAGATTTGCAAACTGATCCTGTTTTGTTGATCTGTTGCAGATCACTTCACTCAGGTGCTGCACTGTGAACACGAGTGTATTCGAGACCTCGCCACCCGGCCTGGCCGCCTCTCTCCCATGGAGAACTTCCTGCCTCTGCACTACGACTACCTGCAGTTTGCCTACTTCCATGGTAAGTTCAAGAACTTTTAGTGTATTTACTGAAATCATTTTAACCACAATTTTAAAACACTGAAGCACAGGGAACAAAACAGATACTGAACACACACACGCACACACACATACAATAACTCATAGTGACCACAGGTGCTACAAACAGCCAGTCAAAAGATGTCTGCACCCGTTTTAAAGGTTGACATTGTTGCACAAGAATGAATGACATTATCTTGTGTGTGCTTGTGTGTTTGCCTGGCCAACTTTTATATTGGTGGTCTCATCTCGCGGCTCTCAGGTGTTTGTTTCTCTGTGTGCGTGGGTGTGTTTGTGTGTGTGTGTGTCTGTCTGAATAAAAGGATAGGCTCCGGTCTTTTGTTTGTTGTCATGAAATACTCTTCTAGATGAGGGCGTTGGCACGTCAACAAAGGGAAAGTCATTGTGCTGAGTGGATGTGAAATCACTAGATTATATTTAATGAACGATAAGCATGTGGCTCTCATAAAGCAATGTGAATCATTGGGTCTCTGCAAACACACTCAGAGCAACCTTTGATTTTATTAGTGAGAGAGAGAATGTTTGTGTGTGTTTTTCCACTATGTCAACCAGAGCCAATATTTTACTCCATTGTGGTAACAGTTTGGAATGTCAGTCTTGATGTATACACACACACATACACACACACACACACACACACACACACACACACACACACACACACAACACACACACACACACACACACACACACAGAGGTCAGCAGCAACCAGTCCATATAGCTAATCGGTGTAAAAGGTTAACTTTATTTATGTTCATATGTAAACGTCAAAGGTTACACCACTTTAACTGCTTTATGTCTCTCTGTGCAGTGGACAGGTTGGAGGAGGCGCTGCAGTGCTCTCTGACCTACCTGTTATTCCACGAGGAAGAAGAGTCCATGATGGACAACGTGGAATACTACAGAGAGGAGCTGGGACACGATGGCAAGCCAAGAGAGGTCAGGATCAGTTGTTCTCATGGGGTGCGGAGGGTTATTGGTGATGGCTGAGAGTTTAGAGAGCCGTGAACAAACCATGCCAATTTAAAATGTTGGAAGTCAGGATTGATTATGTTGCTCCTCTGTAAAAGATGACAATGACTTGGCATGGGAATTATGCTCTCTTAAGTTTCCTTGTAGAAAGATAATAGTAAATACAATTTTAAGCGTTTGTTTTTTGGTATCTAAACCTCAAACTGTGAAATAGGACAACCAAGGCAGTTTTTGTGTACTCTGGTATACTCAGACTGACATTATAGAACTTATATTATAAATGTAAGCAGGGTAAACATGTTCTTGTAGAAACTCAAACTATAAGAATGAAGCTGAAAAATAAAGACAAGCTTGTTCTCCTCTTGGATTTAGGTATAGTTAGTTGGATGATTAGGAAACAGTTAAACTTCCTCATTAAGGTGTTCAATTTGTTCAACAGTATACATTGTCAACTGAGGTCATGTGAGGAAAAGTGTGGATGTGAGGGGAACTAGGAGACTAGCAGGCTGTTTTCTGTATTTCTTGGATATGTTTGCTACTCTCGCTTGGCAGCTATCGCCTCTTAAAGTTTGCTTTTCACTTGTATATGTTCTCCCTCCAGCTGGAAGTATTAGGCAGATTTTGCTCGGTCAACGTGTTAACGACAACATATCTCTTCCTCTGGGCTCGTTCTTTATGATCTCCTTGCCCCCCTGGTGTTCATAACACTCTGAATGATTCAAGGCTGAACGTCTGCCCGCTTCAAGAGAATTAAATGAGTTAAGTCTGGCTACTCATGTCATCAGCCGCTTTAGCATTGAGAATGTGTTCTTTTCTCAAACTCTGATCAGCTGCTGTGAAAAGTCAAGCAGCGCTTTGTTGAAGTCTCAATTACACAAACTCTCTTTTTCCTAGAAAGCCTGGTACTCATTATGTTGAGCAAGACTCCCAGCAGGACTGTGTGTGTGTGTGTGTGTGTGTGTGTGTGTGTGTGTGTGGTGTGTGTGTGTGTGTGTGTGTGTGTGTGTGTGTGTGGTGTGTGTGGTGTGTGTTGTGTGTGTGTGTGTGTGTGTGTGTGTGTGTGTGTGTGTGTGGTGTGTGTGTGATGTGTGTGTGTGTGTGTGTGTGTGTGTGTGTGTGTGTGTGTGTGTGTGTGTGTGTGTGTGTGTGTGTGTGTGTGTGTGTGTGTGTGTGTGTGTGTGTGTGTGTGTGTGTGTGTGTGTGTGTGTGTGTGTGTGTGTGTGTGTGTGTGTTAAGGAGAGGCCTACTTGTTGCAGCGTTTCTGTTTTTCTACTCATAGCTTACATTTTTCTAGCATTAAAGTATTTTCAGTCCCGTCAGTTCACAGATCAGTCGGTAGCCCTGCGTCCCCCCCTCTGGCCTCGGGGAGAACATTTAAAGAGCCCTAGATCTCAGTGCCAGGCCCGACCTGCCAAAGAATCCTGCCTTTCAGGAACGTGGAGGAGCAGGAAGGTCTCAGTGCCCACAGAAGTCTCTGGAACAATTTAGGGGGCTGTTTGTATTAAGGATGCTGGAAATAAAACAGCTTCTCTTTTCTATTTTTTTCAAACCACAAGAAAAACAACACTTTTGGGTGCTCAAGTTTCATAATACTCAACTCCAAACTCCAAAAATTACAAAAATATTGGACATTACACAATAATTACACACACACTGTGTCTCTTCCTGTTGCTGTGCCTTAATAACCAAAGTAAAATAACAATGTGAATCAGAATCTGAAATACTTTAATAAATTGGTAAATTGGTTTTCATGACAATTGTTAAACCGTCCAATGGCCTTGTTGTTGACTTGTGTTGTGTGAATGATTGTCAATATATCATCAGCATTTTTTGTATTTCAACATAGCTCAATCAATTGGCCTTGAAATTCCTTTAGATGCAAACACACACTGCAGCAAACACTCTTACTGTATTATTTTAGCTGCAGAAACAGCAGTTGTTTTTTATTTAAGGTTTCACTCAAGGCAGGAAACAGTAGTAAAACTGTCCCTCAGAGAGGACACAGAAACAGAGAGGCCAACACACTCCATTAGTCCTGGCACTGAGGCGAGGAGAGAAACTCATCCTGCTTCCCTTCATTTAGGCTGAAAGTGGGAGGAAAGGAGTCACTTTCACTTTAAGAGTTAGGAAAAGGAATGGCAATGAGCTTTAAAACCACACTATATGTTTTTTATTAACCATAATACTTTTACTCTACTATAACTATGGGTACGGGAAGAATGCAGTGATACAAATGTGTTTTTGATGGCTTAAACATTGCCATGAATGGGGGACATTTGATTAAGGCAGAGACCAGATGGGACATTTCTTTATAAGTCATACAATAGGTACATTTAGCAATTAAATATGTAGTGTATCTTCTTCCTTTCCAGCAGTTATTTTCCCCTTCATCATCTATCCCGGACTTAAAACACGTGCTTACATTTACCTTAATGACTCAGGAAACTGTTGGCCATTAACGTTTGGTGTGTTGTTGTTCTCAGGATGCAGCATGGTACCTGAGGAGGCACAAACAGGAACTGGAGCTCCTTTTGATTGGCAGCAACACCATGGGTGTAGAGTTTACAGAAGGGGTGAGTTAACAGAATACAACCTTATCCCAAATGTTGTTCATTTTCCATGTGTAACCACACATTCAAAGCAGACAGCCAGTTTTTATTGGCAGACCAGTGCCCTTTAATTCCCAGTTTTGCCCAAAATAAAAGGAGATATAATTGAACAGGCGGTTATCCTTAAGCCAGTCCACATGTGTCTGATGCTGAGCAGATCTCCTGCTGAGTGTGTAAAGGCATAATGTGTGTCTGCTGCTGGCTGACTCAGAGCAGTGCAACAGGTGTTTGGCAGACACCGTCCACCACTGTCCTCTTAGCCGACAGCGACACCTGCTGGCCACTCTGACATGTCATATTTATTTGTACATTGCACTTATGAAATTACCTCTGGTATTAGAAAGCATATATAGAGTCCCCCTGGTTTTCTTCTTTATTTATTCATTGACTCCTTGGCAGGAGAGATTTAGAAAAAGACAAATGTAAATATTAAAAATGTCCATTCTCTTTTCTACAGAATTATTGGAGCAGCACAGGTCGAAGAGAGGACTCAAACAGGTAAAGAGTTAGAATCCGTCAAACTTTAAGGTGTAGCATCAAACAGTTTATCATACAATACCTTTTGTCTTCTCATTGCCTTGAAAAAAGATAGATATAATGTAAAAATTAAAAGCGGAATTATCAGTCTTTTTAGAAAAACTGTTTCTCTCAACTCTGTAGTGATTTATATTTAAATGATAACTTGTTTAAACTAATTGTTTAGCTGTGGGGACTGCAACTCTACTGTTTGTGTTCTTTCATTGCTCTTATTGTTGTTTTGGCTGCAGGTGTTTTCAGCTCAAAAGCTGTTTGATACACACTCTGCACTAAACAGCAGACTGACATGATAAACAAATAGCTGGTGAACATAATGGAGCATTTAGTAACTTTAGAGACAGATATTACCTCAGGAGTCGAAAGAGACAGATACAGAGCTAAAGGAGAAGGAATATTGGACTGACATTTATCAGGAAACTGCCCCAAATATAATGATAATGGTGTTTTGTATCTGCTTGAGTTTGTTATATTATCAATTCAAACCCACAAAGAATATGATGGTGTTTGATGGTGTCATAATTGCCCAAAAAATATATTTTGAAAAATTGAAAAGTGCAGGGTTAAAGTTGAAATAATACTGATGACTCCTAATGACAAAATAATTCTCTGTTTTCTGTTTTCCAGGATTCCTTCTGGTACAGACGGCTGGATGGAGTATGTTCCCATCTCAGAGAAGAAGAACATCTCTGCTCTTTCTCCACAGCAATTCAAAGAAGGTAACTTCACTACAACCAGAGATAAAGCAGAACAGGAGTTACACTTAGAAGAAAAAGCCCTCAGTGTTCAGTTAAATCTTCCTTGAACATTGCTAAGATAACATGTTGCATTCTTTAAGTACTGCTCTGTGATCTGTGTAGGTGGCCCCTTGCTGTTTGACAAGGTGCAGCTGGTGCAGGACTCTGCGGCCCTGAACGGGACGCAGCGGGTGCTGCTGGATGATGTCATATCTGAGGAGGAGTGCTCGGACCTCAGAGACCTGGCACATGTAAGGACATTACACTCATTAAGGATTTAAATCTTAATTTTAAAATGAATCTTATGAATCTTAATCTTGTTTCCAGGCTGTCACCAAAGCAGGAGACGGCTACAGAGGGAGGATGTCTCCACACACTCCCAACGAGAAGTTTGAAGGAGCCACTGTGCTCAAAACCCTGCAGGTACACTAACCACTAAACAGAAAGAAATGACTGAATTAATCATTAGACTAGATTGTTGTCAGGGTTACAGAAAATGGCATATTATCCGAGCTAAATGGATTAATGAGAAGAGTTTCATTTCAAGTCAAAATTCAAACCATGGGCTCAGCAATATTGCATATTCATCATAATACAGTGTTCAAAAGAATGTGTCATCTTTCTTCATTTATGGTTTAACTCTACATGTTATGCTCCATTTTGTTATTTCTTCCCTACAGTACAGCTATGAGGGCAGGGTGCCGATGAGGAGCGCTCGCATGTTCTATGACATCAGCGAGCGAGCGAGGCAGATCATCGAGTCGTACTTCCTGCTCAACTCCACCCTACACTTCTCCTACACACACCTAGTGTGCCGGACGGCCATCACAGGTCAGTTACACAAGGAAACATATTTCACAAGTGCCATCTTTTAAAATGTATTCCTTAAGTCATACGTGTAACAATAAGCTTACATTTTTTAACTTTAATTACAGTCTAGAGTCTAGACTGTTGTAAAGAAAGCCCTCAAAAAGTAGATCTAATGTATAGTCTTGCCATCCTTTATACCTTGAAAAGGGCAAATGTTTTATATGTATTTATGCTTTTTGCTTGTCCTTCACAGGCCAGCAGGATCACAGGAATGACCTGAGCCATCCCATCCATGCTGACAACTGTCTGCTGGACCCCGAGGCCAATGAGTGCTGGAAGGAGCCTCCAGCGTACACATACAGAGACTACAGGTGAGAGGCTATCAGCACTGCTATAAATAATTAACCCACTTTTCTGCAGCGTTCTATTTCAATCAGTTGAGTATGTGCTGATCTATACTTTTATTTTTTATTTTCAGTGCACTGTTATATCTCAATGGAGATTTTGAAGGAGGGGAGTTCATATTCACAGAAATGGATGCCAAAACAGTCACGGTAAGATGGTGTCTTCTTTGATGTGAGAGTTACTTTACAATGCTTTTGCGGCACAGGAAGTCAGTCAACATGCTAATATCAGGGGTCTGATACCAAAAGGATGCAATATGTATATTAAACGTAAAACTCTATTTTCTCTAGGCATCAGTGAAGCCCAAGTGTGGCCGGATGGTGGGTTTCTCATCCGGAGGGGAGAATCCACACGGTGTGAAGGCCGTCACGAGCGGTCAGAGGTGTGCCGTCGCTCTGTGGTTCACTCTGGACCCGCTCTTCAGAGAACTGGTAAACTAATGTTTCTGTTAAAGAACAATTGCAAATGAATAAGTAATCATCCCTTTCCTCCTATGTTTATTCCAAAGTCGCTTCCAAGTTTAGAACTATTAGCAAATGTGACCACGCTTGGATGTCAAACTAAGATGTGTTAGCATTTAGCTAAGAGAGCTGTTGGTTTGTCGATCTACGCTACAAAGCAGCTTTAAACAATAAAGAATTGTCAACAGGGGATGGCATAGATTTTCCCATAAGTGAAAGGCCATAGATCCACTTCCTGCTATCTGGTGTCGGATTAGGACACTAGTGGATAAAAATCCAAGTAGGTTTTGGAGGCAAGTCAGCACAGGAAATAATGAATCTTCCATTTCACCCAAAGCATTGGGATAGCGACAACTTTTGGCTCCTTTTATATAAGAAATCCCTTCATTCAAGGTTCAAGGCTTTTATTAGTCATACGTACATAGCTACAGTGTAGTTATGATGATGACAATCTTCGGTCACCGGCTCCACCAACAGTGCAACACAATAAAACAGACATATGTAATATGCTTTTGCTAACTTGAGTGTATGTATTACTCTAGCCTGAATTATTTGTTCTTTTTCACTACTAGGAGAGACTTCAGGCGGATGAGGTGATCCAGGCGTTGGACACGCAGTCTGTTTGGGGTCCAGGCCTCAACATCAACCCTAAAGATGAACTGTAGAAGCTTCACCTCTTCCCCTTCTACCAAATCCTTCTAAATATTTTAACTATTTATTGAAAAAGCCTTTGGATCAGAACTTTTCTATGTTTGTACTGTTTGAAGTGCAAAGTTAATAGTATTGTCATTTTTGTGTTCTACCCACAAGTATTTGAGTTTACCTTTTGTCTTTCCCTCCAGCGAGAGCTTCTTGTAGAGAAAGAAATCCAACTATTTCTGTTTTGTTTTGTTGTACCTGGTTTCATTCAAGACTGATCATATCTGTAACCTACTGAACTGTGAAGAAGCCAAACAGAAGAACGGCAGACATTTATTTATTTTTTGCTCTGAGTTCTGAGTTGTTCTGGTTTTGGAAGACATTTCTAATGGGTTTTATTCATAAACACGATGCAGATATTTACAAAAAATATCTTACTTTTAGTTGTATGTGTTTTAAAATAACTCACAATTGGTACCGTTGCAAGTACTTTTAATAAGTAACAACATAATGTTCTTCAATATTTTTTTGTGACGGTAATAACTATTTTCAATGTAGAAAGCGTACTGTTTTTCTACTTTGGGTACCTGATTTTATAATAGTGCTCATACAAAGAGTTTGAGAAAGAGATATGTTTTTATATGCTGAATATTTAATGATCATGCACTCTGTCCTTCTCTTCTGTGCCAAGTCTGAAACTGTAAATGTCTTATTTTCCTTTGTTGTTGCCGTGAATAACCCCCCCTTACTCTCTGGGCACACAGAGCAGAATATACTGTTTTACATGTTCACTGACATATTTTACTATTATTTATGTGTTTTTAATAATAGACAGCTGCTGACGTAACTGTTGGCATTTAATATGAGGAACTTTTTTCATAAAAGATGTCAATCATTCCTGTTTCAAGGAATAAATATATGTATCTATCTTTTTTTGTCTTTATAATTGTGTTGAGGATACAGATGAGGTCGAATCGTGCACTGTAAACCCAATGGAGAAAACGTACACAGTTTCTTTCTTTTTTTACATAGATACAAACTGCTAACCAGAAATCTTAAACCGGTCGTGTTATGAGGTTGGCCACTTTTGTTTCACTGATATTTAATTCTGAAATGCTGTAGCACACAAACATTGATATGTCCATGTCGATAAATTAAAAGGATAAAATTCCATATCTATATTGAACTGCGTATATTTGTTTTATTTGTTCATCTCATCATTGTTCATTTGCAGGAAACAAGAATGCATTTTAAACAAAGAAATTGATACATTGTTTGTGTTATGTCTGAGTCATGTCTCAAACAACCAGGCATATATCGCTTTACAGATCTATATCTCATTCCTTTAGAGTTTTATCTGTTCAAGTCACCTGTTGTAAACTCAAAAGTATGCTTGTATACCTATGTAACCGAACACTCTCTGACGAAAGGCATACAGTAACAAAAACTTGAGCTTACGCTGTACAGCCCTGCAGTTTAGCTCCATTAAAAGTAAAGTGCGTCAGCGTAAGGTAAATACAGTAACAAAAAATCAGTCACTCTTTTAATGTTATCACACTAAGAGGAGGTCACTGCGGTAAACTTTATCTTCTCAGAATGTGCTTTAACACAGCCCAGAAATAGAAATAAATAACAACTGGACTGAGAGTAAACTATGTATTCTGTTCATTCCAAGTCTCGTGTTGCCCAGGGTGGAGTTTGAGGTGGTGTGTGTTTGAATCCAGGGGACATTGGATGTGTTTGGTTCAGAAGCGGTGGTCCAGCTGTTCGGTAAATCTGAATGGCTTGGTTTCATTGACGGTGCACAGCAGGTCCCTCATCCGTCGTGCGCGCCGCTCCTCCAGCACCAACCTGCGGGAGCGCTCTCGAGCCGCCTGCTGCTCCGCTTGCTTCTCCGCCCGTTTACGCTTCAGCCACCTGAGGAATTGACGATGGAGATTGGGTGCCAATTTACGCATAAGGAAAAAATGGCGAGAAACACAATTGACTTTTAAGATAAACATGACATTTTTAAATGTGTGAAAAAAACATTTCACAGGCAATGTAAATAAATAAATATTATATATGTAAATGCTGACAAACTAACTATTAATAACTTCAAATAGGCCTATGGCAATATATGATGGATTTATCATGATTCAACATAAAGACAGATATTTTGAAATACTGTGAGAAGTTGTGGTGAATGTAAATGAAGGTGTACTCACAGTTTGAAGGCACGCTCACACTCCTCTCGGCTGCGCAGGAGGTATCCGCTGTCCTCCTCCAGCCTCTTCAGCTCCAGCAGGTGTCTCTCTCTCTGCTGCTGCTCCTGCTTCCTCTGGAGCCACAGCCTGAAGGTCTCCTCTGGGTCGCTGGAGTCTCTCTGCCGGAGGATGCAAAAATACATCCAGTAAGTAACAGTTGACATTTAGTATAGCATTGCTGATTTGGTTTTCTTGTAAGCTATGGATGCAAACAAACTAAGTTATAATTTCTAAGTGTAACAAATAGAATACTGTTACTACTTCTTGTAAACGTATTTCTCTACTTTTCCGCACAGGAGCCTAAAAATGTTTGCGGTAGAAAATGTGGACGCTTTCATGTCTTTAGAGTAGGATAAAGACTTGACAAAAGCTGTTTAAAATTACGAAATAATTATATGATATTGATTAAATTATATTAAAAAAATAATCAGACTGATAATTACGAAAAAAGGAGCATCATCTGCTGTATCTCCAGACTTTCTGTTCTCACTGCTGAACATCCACGCTGTGTGAGAGATTGTGCCCTCCTGTGGTCGTACCTTAGCGCTGTTCCTCTCCATCTCCTGGGCTCGGTGAATCCTCTTCTCCTCCTGAAACTGCTCTCTCTTCTTCATCAGCCAGGCCTTAAATGCCAGCTCGTTCTCTTGCCTCTTCTGCTCCTCTTCCTCCTGTTTCCTCTGCTCTTCCTAAAGCAAGAATGATCGAAACAGTATTTTAAGAAATCAAGGCTAAACGTGGAAATGCTCATTTGTTGTTTTGATGCTTGCTGTGCTACAATACACTAACTTTTGTCTTTCAAGTATTCTTTCCTACCTCTCTGGCCAGCCTGTTCTTCCTCTGCTCGATCCTCTGCAGCAGCTCTTTCTGCTGTGGTGAGAGGCTGTATGTGGCCTGGCAGGGGGTCCCGGTGGCAGACTGCACCCTCCGCTTGCTGTTTCTCCACTGGGTGCCTCTCTGGCTGTGGCTGGCTGAGCTGGGCCTGCTCCTGGGCTGGGCTGGGGGTCGGGGGGCAGGGAGCTGATTTATGCCTTGATGGAAAGGGTGAGAGCCGGCACGAGGAGAGGAGGAGGACCTGGAGGTCTTACTGGAGCTCACAGTCTGCTCTGTGTGACGTGAGAAGGAGAAGTCCATGCTGTTGTTTGCTATAGGAGGCAGCAGTCCCATACTCTCCACCTCTTTCAGGCTGACTAGGTCAAACTTACCATCCTTTTCTACCAGGACTTTTCCTTCCTTTAACCCTCCCTCAATGCTCTCCGCAGCTCTGCCAGATTCCCTCTCTTGTCGAGGGGAAAGTTTTAGCTCAGAAAGCTTCCCCGACACTTCGATCTCGACCTTTGAATCCTTGGTGCACTGCTCCCCTTCCACCTCACCAGTGTCTCCTTTCTCAAACTGCTGTGGAGACACCACCAGGTCCACCAGCGTCTCTTTAAAATGCAGCCGTCTGCGTCTCGTCATACTCGGGGCCTCTTGGTCCTGCAGCTCTCGATTCGCCTGCTGGATCTTCTCCTGGATGTACTTCTTCTCCTCTTCAGTCTGTTCCTCCATCTCTGGAGGAGGTGGGAGTATGGTTGAGGACTTATTTGGGCTGTCTCTGTCTGAATCATACTCTAATGGATCCATAGGTGAGGGCCACCTCTCTTCATCTTCTTTCAACTCTTCGGATTTCTTGCCTCTCTTCTCCTCCTTGAGGCTTCTCTGCTTTCTTTTCTTTCTTTTCTGTTTCTCATCCTCCTCCAGTTCTTTGTCAATCTCTGCTTCTATGTCTTTAAAGTCAGGACCCTGAGGTGCAGAACACAGAAAAACTGCATTAATTAAATAGGTTTGAAGGTAAATGAATGCGCAACATCAATAGTAAGCAGGTAATAGGTGGTGTGATAACAGACATGCGTTAGTGTGTTCATCAATATTGCATCCAGCAGTGGAGCACAGTGAAAGTATGTCACCGCATGTCAACAGCATGGGTTTATACACTGATATGTGCCTGGCTGGGTAACTCAACACTACAGATGCCGCACCTAGTCTGCAGTAAGTAGAGCAGCACAGACCTGGTTTCACATGATTAAAAAAACAAGCAGTGTTAAAAAATAGAAAGTATATAGGAGAGAAGTTATCAGCCTGTCCCGAGATTTTATATAAAGGACTTACCTGGTCCTCACTCCGGGATTCCTCGCTGATCAGCCAGTCCAGATCCTTCTCGAAGTCGTCCTCGTATTCGTCCTGAGACTTTGTGATAACCACCCCACTCATAATCTTCACTGGAAGAAGATCAGAAATAATGTTCAGACAAGATTGTTGCCACTTTAGCAGAAGGGCCTGACTGAGGGAAGTGATATCAGTCAGACAGCCCGGAGAAAGATATCTTAACATCTGACCAAATAAAATATCCTGTTGTTCCACTTAAGTCTAGGAAAATGCCTCTTAAAATACTTTATCACCCATGTATGGCCTCCAGAAGAAAAATTAAAATATGTTTAATGTCCCCCAGACATTACATCTTGTACCAACTTTAAGACATAACTCCCTCTATGTCGACTATGGGTAACGATTTGACTCATACAATTACAAATATTTAGTACACAGCTTTAGGACTTTGATTGGGTGCTTCTTGTAATGACATCCTCAAGATTATTGTATACACAATATGGAACTTTGTGAAAATATTGTGTGCCAATTTAAGACACATATAACGGTAATATAAAAACAGTCTTTGTTCTGAAACAGTTTGTGGAGTCTGACAAATGTATATGTTTTAAATGTCAGGGAAGGTGTAAATAATACACATCCTACACAAAGGCAGGCATTTTAAAGTGTATATGCTGATACAAATAAAGCTGAATTTATTCTAAACAACATACAAATGTATTATAAATTGCACTCTAGTGTATCATCATAGTTAAGCATGTTTTATTTACAAGTATATTGCCACCGCATGACATCAAGGTAAGTGATAGCCAACAGAGGTGAAAGGTCAGATGCTAGACATCCCATAACCTGAGTCACTGAGGATGTTCACAGACATACAATACTAAACCTTATCTACAGTCGAGTGGAACACAGATTAGAGTCCATCTATTTGGATAATCAAAACAACACCACACAGATCATACTCTAAACAGTATTTCAAATGTTAGGTTTATTTTATTTTGTATGTTTCATGGATGGAAGAGCAGAGGAATTTTTTTGGATGGTTGTGTTACTAATACTTCCCACACATCACTTTATGTAATGTGGATATATGGGTTACACAGGAATAAATAAAATAAAAGCTAGAATGTAACTAACAACATTTACTCAAAGTCTGTACTTTAGTACCGTTTTGGGGTACTTAACTTAAATCCCCTGCTAAATGAGGCCTTAATCTATCGATCCCATTGCAGCTCAGGGGGAATACTGTACTTCTATAATCCACTACAGTTGTGATTCATTAAATTAATAATTACTTGAGTTAATTAGGATAAGAAATACAACATATATTCAACAAACTACGATCTAATATTAAATATGAAACCGTATTGATCCCTTGGTTATACTCATGAGCTTGCAATAGCAGTATATGTCGCTTCAAATATCAAATGATGCAACAATAAAGCAATGCATTAGTGCATCAATAATTATAATCCAGTATTATTTAAGCATTCATCTCAAATTGACCGTTTTAATAATGAATGTACTACTTTTGGTACTTTAAAAATATGTTAACGCCAATACTTTTATACTTTTGCAAAATTTGACTTTTTAAGTTTGAAATGCAGGACTTTAACTGTTGTATTGCTACTGTTAATCAGGTTTAAGATTGAAATGCTTCTCCCACCTGTACTATACAATGTACTGGTGTTGAGGATTGGTCGTCACCTACTGGAAAGAAACCAGTACTACCAGGTTACCAGTAAAGTATTATTCTTGTTGTTGCTTTTTGTCACAGATATCCCCTCTCTGCTGACATGTAGGTTATGTTTACAGCAGCTTTGCTCTGTTGTCTCGGAACCAATTCCCCTGGCTACAACACAGAGTTTAATATAGACAATAATCCTGTTTATCTTTATAGCTCTGCGGGCTACAAATAAACAGGAGACAGAATTAGGAGGCTGATTTGTGGGTTTGTTTGTCTACTAAGAATTAAGAGAAGTACAAATAATTGTGACAATTGTTAGTAAACTCACCAGCACCGGCGGGTCCTTGCTTAGTATTCCGGTTGAGTTCAGAGCGATGTCACTACCATCCGGCCGGCTTGTTTTGTAACTATCCCTCCATCTAACTGGCCCACATAGTGTCTGGCAGTCTGCGGAACAACACCTGTGTACATAATCTGCTTCCAGTCCCTCTGCAGCTCTAAAAGGTTTATTAGACCCGTCGTCATAGAGACCTACAACACGCTTTACTACTTGCGCATGCGCATACAGGACACACAATTCACAAAATAATAACATCTCCATGCACACAAGAGAAAACATGGTTCCAGGAGCCCCTCAGAGAAATAATCCCAAAGAACATTTTGAAATATAAAGCTAGTATAAAAAATGATATACCACCTTCTCTGTTTATTTATATAACAAATTAGTTGCCAGTTCATATTAGCCTATAGGATATTACAAAATAAAACAATGCTAAAATCATGGCTTGCTCTATTATATTTCAACTGTGGTGGAACAAGAACTAAGGTATGTTACTTCTGTAAAAGTAGCATTGAAAAAGTACATTACATTACATTACATTACATTGCATTTAGCTTTTATCCAAAGCGACTTACAATAAGTACATTCGACCAGGAAGACACAACCTTGAAGAAAACAGAATCATATAAGTACATCAGGTTTCATAGAGCCAAACATTTCAAGTGCTACTCAACTGGCTTTAGATAAGCCAGTCCTTTATTAGTATATAAGTGCTTTGTTAATAGTTCTATCGCTCGAAGTGGAGTCGAAAGAGATGAGTTTTCAGTCTGCGCCGGAAGATATGCAAGCTATCTGCTGTCCTGATGTCAAGTACAGATTAAAAAAGTAAATAGAAAGTGTAAAAAATACTCTGTAAGTAAGGCACTAAAAAGCAAGCCTACTCATTATGCAAAATAAAATATGGCTTCAAAAACACCAATTATTTTTGAGATTTATCATAACTTCTGAAGCAAACAAAGGAAGCATTACCATATTACCAGAACATGTAATTGAATGAATAATCTAATGTAAAACCTTGTTATCATAGACTCGTTGGGCCACAGCTCATCAATGTTTAATGTTTGATCTATTCTAGACCAAAGCACATGACCATGGGAGGTAAGTCACCCCATTACCTTTATTGTTGGCCTATTTCATTAAAGAAGAAAACTATGAAATATACAAATACAATTATGAATAATATATATATATATATATATATATATATATATATATATATATATATATATATATATATATATATACCTATACAGCGTTGCTAATGCTGGGATCTGGGATAGTAGTGTTTTATGAATAAAACATCATGTCTTAAAAGTCAATATATTACATTCTGGTTTGAGTATAACTCAGGATAAGGTCTATAATTTAATTATGCAAAGAGGTACATCCATTTGTACTGTGAAGTACAAAATACGAAGGATATGAAAATTCATTGAACGCAACATTTGGTTTGTGGCGCACTGCATTATGGGGCATGACGTTTTGCTTTACACTTTAACTACAGGAGAGCCCAGCAAAGAACGACATTTCCCACGTTGCATCTGTTACTACCGAGGAAGAACTACACGCCCCCTTGACTGATAACACACATGATAGCACGTAGGCACAACTTCTGATAATGTTTAAGTAACTAACTATTCAATAACTACCAACAGCCTTAGAGCGGTTGTTTTTCCTACAAATGGCTACCATTGTCTTCTGCTCTGTCAACAAAACGGCTCGGACCACCGCAAGACGATGTTTGAGTTCATATTCAAAAGGGCTTGCTTGTTCAGGAGAGTCGCCGTTATCCTGCACTCACAGCCCGCTTACGACGCTCCTTCCGAGTACAAGATGGTTTTCCAGGGGCTCCAGCGTACGGTTCATGTCCCATGGGACTGCAGGCAGGGCCGGGGCCGGGAGAACCAGGAGGGGAGCCCTGCTCAGTGGAGCCGCAGCCGTCACAGCAGCTGCGGCAGTAGCGGGGTTTTTAGCCAACGCTAACCACTTCCAGCGGGCTGAAATGGCAACGAAAGTATCCCCAATTTCTGAGGAGAAGGAACCCGAGGGGGAGATCTTGGAGAGGTGCAGGGGGTTCATGTCTCCTCCGGTGACCGACATCGGTGAGCTGCAGGAGAGGAAAGGGGAGATGAGGACCAGGATGGAGATGTTGATCATGCAAACGCAGGCCGACTTCTGCAAAGCCCTGGAGGTGGTGGACGGTGGGACGTTCAAGGTGGACCGGTGGCAGAGGAATGAAGGTGAGGGGTGCTCGCCTGGTATTTCTATTCTTACTAGGAAGGCCTATTGGAGTTGGACATATTTTTTTACAAGAAATACTTGGCCAAGGTAACAACACAATTACAACACGGTTAAATACAGCACACAACATGACATAAGTTATAATTATTCTCAATAACAATTAACAACCACATGCGTCCATCCCTACATTCTTAGTTATTAAATCCTTATTGGATAAAAATGTTTCCAATTTGAGTTATTTTTTTATACCCAGGCTACATTGAAAAGCAACCAATTGTGGGATACGTATGCATTTTATTCTGTAAGTAATGCTAAATGTGTTTGTGGCGTTCTTGAAAGTGTAGGAGCTTCAAGTGTGCGGCATGTTTTTGTGCTCAAAGCAACACAGAGTTCACAGATGCATGCAAGAGACACCGCCTGAAGTAACGTCTAATCTACGAGGAAATAAAACAACCACATTTACATCTCTTTCTTTCAATGTATTTCACCCTGTGTGGTTCAGGTGGTGGAGGAATCAGCTGTGTGATGCAGGATGGAAAGGTGTTTGAGAAGGCGGGGGTCAATGTGTCCGTGGTGTTTGGATACCTTACTGAAGAGGCTGCCAAGCAGATGAGGAGCAGAGGGAAAGTGCTCAAAGGGAAAGATGGTACGTTCTGTTCCCTTGATATTTATTTGCAGGTTAAAGCTTGATAAAGCTCTTAACAGGAGTCTCTATTTTCCCACAGGTAAGCTGCCCTTTTGTGCCATGGGTGTGAGCTCTGTTATTCACCCCAAGAACCCCCACATCCCCACTGTGCACTTCAACTACAGATACTTTGAGATCGAGGAGGAAGATGGTGAGTGTCAGTTATGATGTCAGCAGTTGTGTCTTGGTGTCAGTGACACTATTGAGTGAATGAATGATAACACTTGTTTCTTTCTTCCTTGTGTTGTGTGTTTGTGTGTGTGTTCAGGCTCTAAGCAGTGGTGGTTTGGTGGAGGCACAGACCTGACTCCAGTTTATATTAATAAAGAAGATGCGTTTCACTTCCACAACACCCTGAAGGAGGCCTGTGACAAACACCACTCTCAGTACTACCCTGACTTTAAGAAATGGTACAGTTTGACTAGTCCTACGTTTGTTTGTGTGTGTACGCATTTGTAGGCCTGATTTCTATGAATTTGCGTGTGTGCTTATTACACTGGGTGTATCCTCACTGTAGGATGATGATAAGAGGAAGTCTTTGACTAAAATCTGCAGTTGCAGAAAAACCGTTGAGCAAGTCAGTGAGCATTGGGGATATGACAGGGATGGGTGTTGTTTATCTGATGTGGCTTGTAATAAGGACGTTTTGTCTTCCTGTGCTTGGTCCAGCCCCACGCTGCTAGCCTGTCAGGCTGTCAAAGCTAAAATGCAGCCAATATTTGAATTAACTGCATTTCCCAGAGATATATTATTTTATTTATTTAAATGTAACAGCAATTTCACAGAGAAGCAGACACAAATATTCCACAATATACATTTTAAGAATATATCCTGGATGTCAAAGGTGCTAGTTGGAAGTTTTTGTTTTTCTAGCCACATCAGGTGTGTCCCCCGTTTCCAGTCGTTATGCTAAGCTTAATTTGAGACATGAGAGTACACTTAAATCTCGTAGAAATGCCCTTACAAAGAAGCATCATACTGTAGATGTACTTTCACCCAAGTTATTTTTAATACCTCTCTTCCTCTTGCCTTTAAATAATATATATGCAGCATAGCCCAGTTCTGCTGAATATTTTAAAGTCTCGACCTGGCTATAAAAGAAAGGAAAGAAAAAGGAAAACAGCTATTTGTACTTGTGTGCATTTCTAGGTGTGACAGATATTTCTACATCCAACACAGAGGAGAGACTCGAGGTATTGGAGGAATCTTCTTTGATGATCTGGACTCCCCGAGTCAGGAGGAGGCCTTCAGCTTCGTGAAGAGCTGTGCTCGCACCGTGGTGCCCTGCTACCTGCCCATCGTGTACAAACACCTCAATGACTCCTTCACTGAGGAAGAGAAGGACTGGCAGCAGATACGACGAGGAAGGTGAGTAAACTTGTGGCTTTTAATGAGTAATGTGCACATCATAATAATAATAATAGATTCAATTTGTATAGCGCCTTTCAAGGGACCCAAGGCCACTTTACATGGTGAACAAACAAACAAACAAACAAAAGGGGCATATAATAAAGTACAAATTAAATAAACAGCAGTAGGAGTGGAAGCAGGGGGACTGTGATGTGTTAGGGGTCAAAGGCCATGGTGACCAGGTGAGTGTTTAATGATGACTTGAAGATGTCCAGGGTTAAAAGGAGATTTTGTATATCATAGCACATTTTAGTTCAATGAATGAAGGCTTCTAAAACTAGTTATACTGCAAAAAACATGAACCTTTAATATGTCATTCTCTATTTATACAATTTCTGCTTAAAAAGTAAGCCGGATCAACTATTAACACAAACACTAAACATGCTTATGATAGGTTAACCATCACAATCAATATTTAATTTCCCCTTGTTCTATAAAGGTTCAAATAAGAAGACACTTTGAAACGCATGAATGAAAAAAGGACTCCATGGACAGCCTGTGATCCATATGGTAGTTCAGAGCTCTCTGCACCAGCAGGGGGAGTATTGGGTCATTTGAACAGAGGCCACAACTAAAGAAAAAGCTAAAACGGGATTTTATAAAAAGGAAAGGTATGATGGTGGGTCAGAAACTCATACAAAGTTTGGATAAAGTGGGAGAAGACAGAAAGAAAAAGGAGACGCTGAAGTTCTGTTTAGATTGTTTAGAAATATGCAGATGAATGTGGATTTGGTTACTTTACAGCATTACAAAGGTTCATTCACTGCAGTGAGACTTTTCTAACAGGGCCGCTCACCATGCACAGACCTCAGGGGACTTACATTTTCCTGAAATAATAACTTTTACTAAGATTTAAGATGATTTTAACGTTAACTGTGCTCAGTGGCGAGCCGTGACTTTTATACCTTGGCCCTCTGACCCCCACCCCTTCCCTGGAGAAAAAAAAAAAAAAAAGTTATTACGTCACAGCGTATACTTCAGCGGAATATCAAAACAACGGCCCGGGGTGCAAAACGCATCAATGAAAGCGACCCTCTACCACACAAAACAACACCTGTAAATAACCCTATTTGTGTTCTTTGAAATTGAAAAGGATATTGCATTGTGTTACTTTCGTTGCAGTTGTATGTCTTAAGTGTAATTTGGCATGCTTTTATTATGAAGGCGAGTTTACGCTGTTGACAGGAAGTTGTTGTTGTTGCTATGGAAACAAGAAAAGTTTCACAGCGGACGGAACTTGTCATAAAGTCCGAGATAATAAAACCCACCCATTTAGAGGGAAGATATGATTGGTCAATTGTACTGTCATTTGACATTACTCTCGTTCAGTTACTATAGCTGGCCCTCTGTGAATTCATAGCTGGACGTCCAACAGCTCCTGTCTTCACACAGTACCTCGCAGAGACGATTCTTTCATTTAACCCTTCACATTCAAACAGAAACTGAATAGGCAGATTTTGAAGGATTTATTTCTTTGGAAATGTTATTTTAAATCAAGTTATTTTAATGAAAAATTAAACTATTATAACTATTATTATAACATTTTTTTTTTAATGTTTTTAAATATTATTTTGTAAAATATCTTAGGCCCTCAGAGAGGGCCTAGAGAACCCTGACGGCTCGCCACAGACAAGTGTTTAAGTGTATCATTGATTTTAATCCTCTTTCAGAAAATCTTGGTGTTTCTGATTGGATTAGGCACAACAGATTGTAAAGATGATGATAAATCCTGTTACCTGGTGTCTACAATGGCTTTCTGTGTTTCTGTTGCAGATATGTGGAGTTTAACCTGGTGTACGACAGAGGAGTGAAGTTCGGCCTGGCCACGCCTGGCTCCAGAATTGAGAGCATTCTCATGTCTCTCCCCCTCAGTGCCAGGTCAGACAACACTGGTTTAAAGCTCAGCAAAAAGCTCTCTGTGTTGCCAGGTAACAAACTCCCCCTTCTTCCTCAGGTGGGAGTACATGCACAAGCCTGCCAAAGGTACCCTGGAGGCCGAGATGCTGGAGGCGTTACGAAACCCCAAGGAGTGGGTGTGACCGCATATCCCAGGTTTATACATCAGGATGGATCACACCCCCAGGGAGCTGTCTGTGATGAGGGTGTGAACTGTTTGATCAGCAGCAGTTCACTCTGTTTACTAAAATCATATATCAATGAACTCGTCCGATTATTTTATATCTGCTATGGTACTTTTCCTGTTTGCTATGTTTTGTAAAATCAGCCATGGTAAAACTCTAAGTCACACTGGGATTGCATTACTATACTTGTACCTGCTTTTAGGTCATCTCACAATGATGATGTGCTCCTTTTTAAAGAAGTGTTTGTGTCAAACACTAGCTGTGGTTCCTTTCTATGTCAAAGCTAAATTGGGTTTGCTCTACTTGAATCTCTGTACTCTTTTCTTAACAAAGCACTGAAAGGGATAATTGGGAGAAACTGAGCGTGTGTGTGTGTGTGTCACCACAGGTGTCAAATGTAATAAATCTGTTTTCATGTTTCAGTGCATTTGCTTGTAACAATGGGTTATTTTTAGAAATCAAAGCTAAGTAATAACTTGTAATGGTCCCTCTTGAGCCCTATTCACATTGTGATTGGTTGCTCGCCCGCTGTAAATGAGTCACTTCCTGGTTTGTTGGAAGAGCCGTAAAACAATAGTTGGATCCGCAGATATGTGAATCCCAGGCCAGGTGTCTCATTTAAGAAAGAAGAATGTTGGAAAAACAAAATGCCTTTTGAAATACATAAAAGTAATTTAAAGATAAAATCATTGTTTGTTCTGTTATCTTTAAAGTCTTTTCTCAAGTTAATCTCAGTTTACACATTTACTTTGTCCTAATTTACCCTTGAAATATACCTTTGAATCTTTACTTTGTAATACTGCAACACTGACCAAAGCTAAAGGATAAACGTCATAAAAATGGTTGGTGTAGTTTTTCATTGGAAATAATAATATGCAATAACTGTCACTAAAAAATGATTCATACGCCATAAACAGAACAAGTCATGGAATAGCATTTCTTTAAAAAGTAATCATGTAAAAGTATTTAAAATTCACAATAATGTCAAAGTGTGTGATACAATTGCATTAAGGGTCATAGTTTAGTATGTCAAAAAAACATGTTATGCCATTGACTTTCTATAATGAATATAATAGTATAGGACATTAAGAGACATTAATTATTTAGCAGTTTGTCACAAAATAAACCACTGTACTTCAAATATATCCTGTAATAGTATAAGTATGTGACAAATGACTCGTTATGTCATAGTTAAATCAGTCAGTCTACAAAACTGAATGCCTTGGAAAATGTGGATGATTGACACATTGAGGATCAATATGTAACCCAGCAAGAAAATAAATAAATAGATAAACCTGAAATGTAAACTCGCACGATGACAATAATAATGCACGACCAAATGAAATTGAAGAAACGCACGTTGCACATTTTCCGTGTTTTATTACAAATGAATTCAAGCTTCTGCACATATCAAGAATGTATAACAACCTTTCTTGCATTTAATGTTATATAACATTTTGTTTAATAAGGCATTGTAAAAAAACAGTAACAGTCCAAAAACTGACCTTACCAAAATGGCTGCCCCCCCTCCCAGCACAACTCAGTTAAAGGTCATTGCAAGTGCTGAGGTTCACAGGTCAACTCACAAAAAGTATAATAATCAGTGCTCAAAGTCTGAGGTGTAACCAGAAAATGTGAAATTTATGAGTAGTATTATTAGACAGATATATTTGGTTTTTAGAGTGTATGCAGCAACATTGCATATAGAGTATGAGCACTTTTTTCCAGAAGATTACAGTGACATTGTAACAGTTGAAAGTGACGCTGCAGACGTCAAGCCACTGTCCGGGCTTTCATCCAAAAGCTCAGTTTGAGCTCAAACACTAAATGCCTTCATTACATGTCACTTGTTAGACGCTTTTATCCAAAGCGACTTACATACTCAATACTGTGGACAATCCCCACAGGAGCAATTTGGGGTGAAGTGTCTTGCCCAGGGACACAACGACATGCTGACTGCTGTGGGGTTTGAACCTGTTGAACCCTTGTTCCCAACACCAAGGCTCTATCCACTGCACCACATGCCACCGGGTCCTTAATGTATCCAAACCTACTGTATACTAGCTTTACCTGTGTCACTGCACCCATATGCAATGAAAAACAATCACCTTAACTAAGACTATACATATTTATATACAGGTACATTACACATGCTAAACGTGGAATTGTCCATAGTGTCGTTAATTACAGAATCTCTTCCCTCTTATACACATTTTTCCAAAGCGCCTGTTTCTATTGCTTCCTGTCCCACAATCCTATGCAAGTCACTCCAAAACTTCCATTAATGGTGTTGCTCGTGAGAATCCTCAGTGTGCTTTTAGTGAAAGTGGCACGGCAGAAGACTGTGTTAATTTCCTACATGGTTACATTTGCTTTAGAGGAAAGAGTACATTTTCACAGTTAAAGCAGGCTCTGATAACTGCCAACAGACCAGAGAACAGACGGAGCAGAGCCACATCCAGACCCAGCTGCATGCATCACACACTGTAAGCACATACGACACACATACACATTACTGCTGGTTTTATCTTACATATGTATCTCCAAAACATTCAAGTGTATACTGAAGTTGGACCATGCATTCCTTTGGCATCTTGACTCTTTAATCCTGTAAAATTGTATTTCTTTAAGGTTCAAACATGGATTACATTAATGTGGAAAGTGTTTTGGTTCTGAAACCTGATCATTTACCTAATGTTTGGTCTCAAAACTCCCTTTAACTATAAATCTCCGGACAGTCATTTACAATTTCTACAATTAACAAGCCAAGCATCCTAAAACAACAAATGTTTGTGTTGGGAGTCAGTCGACCAAGCCAGAGCTAACGAGTGAAACTGCATCATCGTTTGCTTACAGGTTACACAATCAAAACCATGGCTTGGTTTTCTAATTGCTTCTCTCTTTCTGAACTCTGGTGGTGAACAATCATTCATTGGAGCCATATTTCTCTGTGTTCCACTAGAACAAATGCTCTTTCAGAATAATGCCAAGCAACATTTTTGCAAAAGTATGCAATATTCAAAATGTAAATGACTTTCGAAATAAGTATGTTCTATAGAAAGTAAAAAGTAATTGCATTCATAGTAGTAGCCTAGCTCTCTCTCTCTGTGTGCGCTGTTCAGAGGCATTTAAAACCGATTCACATTCGTATTGGGATTACGTTTTCAATCCTTGAAATGTTGATAAAAATCAATAGAGATGTTTTAAGATGGCAAAGAATGGTATAGATTGGGGCAAAACCGTAGTAAATACCATGTTTTGGACCACACAAAGGTTTAATTTAAGTACAAAATATGTGCAGACGATCTACAAAATTGGCACTCACCCTTCAATAAACCATTGGTCCAACCCTATACACTTTTAGAATAGTTGTCCTCCATTATGGCAATCTGAACCCTTTTTTTATTCGCAACATGCAACATTTGTTATGCCTGCCGAGTGAAATACTTGCATCAGTGTGACAGATGGAAGTTGAGGAAAATCAGATGAGGCTGGTTGGTTTTGGTATTGCAACATCCTTCCTACTATTACTTCACTTCATCGATGAAAGATTAGTGCAAAGCTCAACAGCGCTGGCACTGGGCAAACATTGTATCAGTCCATCGAGCAGACCGTTAACAGTCTGTGTGTGTTGAGGGGAGAAGGCTGGTGGTTCCACAACAGTGATTCTGCTCATTCATCAGATGGTCTTAGTGTGTGTTAGGGCTTCTGTTGGGGCGGTAGAGAGAGACCCCTTTACTTCCCCCGGCCTCCAGAGCTAGTGTTGACTATATCCTCGTACTGGGGCGGGGGCTCCGTCTCTATCTGGACGTCTGTGTGGCCCACAGCCTCCTCATAAGATGGTGGCGGGTCTCCGGTGCCTCCTCTCCCTGATGTGGGCTCTGAGCCTGGATAGGCGGGGCTGCTGTGCACACTGAGTTCTGAATGGTCCCCCTGGTGGAAGTCCCTCCCCCAATGGTCCATAGAGACCACTGACAGGACGTGGTCGTGGTGCGAGTGTCCCTGGCTGGGGCTGCGCTGCGAACGCTTGCGAGAGTGACAGCGCCACACAGTGATGGCCACGGCGACGATGATGAGCACCACCAGCAGCAACGGCACGATCAGGTAGAGAGAGTGGACCCCCCCCACCGTCTCCAGCCCCCCGCTTGGACTGCTCTCCCGCACATATTCCTCCCAGAAGCGTCTCTGAAACCAAACAGAAGACAGACCAAATGAAATACAGGATAAAAACATTTCCTTCGAGATAATAAAGGCAAAAACATGGTGGCACAAAACTGTTCCCCAAACAATGGGTCGCTCAGCTTAAATGCTTTCTTTCTGGATCGCTGGGACACAAAGGCAGTAGACAACAACATCCGAAACAAAAAGCGAACACATGATCGTGCCTCGTCCATCTGCTCTCTGGCCTCACAATAGTGTTACAAATACACCCCCCCCACCCCTCTATGGACTCGGCTGTTCTTCCTGCTGATAATCATCACTTCCTGAAAAAACACCCACATTCCACAAGCGCCACTGTTGGCATAGGATTACATTATTGGACACCTAAACCTTACAAAATATCCCTTTGAGGGGATATTCCTGATTTATGCTGGTATGAGTTACTCAGCTGTAGTAGTATTGATTTGAGGCCCCTGGCTCCAGCTGGAGGTCTGTGTTCATAGATTTACAGCCAGCTATGGGTGATGGTAAGAATGAATTATGAGGATGAAGCAGCAGAAAGATGATTGAGTTTTTTGATACCCTCAATATATGTTTTTTGAGCTAAACCTCTTTTTCAGACATTGCAACTAATAATAATTCCTTACATTTATTATAGCGCTTTTTCAATGACTCAAAGCGCTTTACATATACACACATTACACATATATTATACATGCAATGGTCAGATACTAGTGAGTAAGTCATGTTAACCTAATGATTATATTAAAGGTCCCCTATTATGCTGTTTTTCATCAATATATTATAGGTCTCAGATATATACAAAACGTGTCTCTGAAGTGTTTGGCTCCAAATACCAAACAGATCATGCATTGCAGCATCCCATAATCCCCTCTGTTTCAGCCCTGTTTCCAAAGTGCTGATTCTGTGTCTGTTACTTTAGATGAAAATAAGGAGCCACTCGCCACGCCCCTCTGAGAGAGATTTGGTTAAAAAGAACACAATGGTGCTCTAGGAGGAGATTCAGACGATAAGGTGGGGGGGGGGGGGGGGGGGGGTTACCTTGGTTGGTTATTGGCTAATGGTTACTCGAGCCAAAAAATCGTTATGACATCATAAAGTGGCCAAAATTTGATCAGCTCATTTTCAGACAGGTTTCTCAAGAAAATCTCTTTTCCTCACCGTCTTCTCGTCGTTCTCGAAAGCCTCGCGAGCCTCCTCGTAGGTGCAGATCTCCTCGCGGCACTCCCTCTGGATGTTCCCCTGCTTCATCTCCTCTAGCAAGAAGTTGGCCCTGCGCAGCCTGTGCAGCACCGAGTGGGCCGCGTCCGCCGGCAGGAACACTGAGAGGCCGGAGAAAGAAGAGGAACGGAGGGGAAGAGAAAGAAAGGGAAGCAGAGCAAATGATGTTAGACTGAAATATGTGTGAGGGAAAAAAAGACATTAATTGAGTGACAAGTTGTCAAGAAGAAGAAAGATGAAAGTACGGGGTGAGTCAGTAAGCAGAACATGGTGGGGGGGGGGGGGGGGGGGGGGGGGGGTTAAGCAAAGAGAGAGTGTTTTGAAAGACAGAGGAGTAAAGGAGGATAGAGGTGCCAAAAAAGCAGAAAAGGGAGAGGGCCAGGAATGGGATGGTGGGCATTGAAACAAAGGCAGTAGAGCAGAGCCGAGTCCTGCCAAGTGCCCACATTTCTGAATAAAAAACAAAAGCTCCTTTGATTTAGGCTTCCATCCCTGGGCCACATAAGAAAAACTTGAGGAATGAACTTAGAGAAACAGAGCAGGCCTCTGTTTCACACGTATCCAAAACAAGAACATAAACTCATGAAACATGCCCAGGGGTGTGGCACCAAATGAAGTAATGGTGTCTGTGTGACTCGTATGTTGAGGGATGTGATTAGCTTAAAAGGCAGAAAGGAACATAGTGGCACAATTCATCAAAACAGGAAATTCCCTAAGGAAAGAATGGCAATTGTGTGCTTAAGACAACAGAGCAAAACCTGGAGAATCACATTCCACGACTAAGATTGCGTTTCAAGGACTAACACGTCTAAAACACAATAGACAAGAAAAAAGAAAAGAAATTGGAGATTATTTAGGAAATGTATAAGTGATATGGTCATGTGAACTTCTGTCTGTGGTGTAAAAGCAAAACGTTTTAGTGTCAGTAAACGTACCACTCCCCATGATTCCTGAGCGTCTGTTTAGGGGGTTTCTGTAGAAGACCAAACAAACATTAGTGAAACGCTTTGAACCTGCTGATACAAATCCGACAATAATTAACCAAGAGTCCTTGGAAGGAGGCAATGACACAATTTTGAAGAATGTGATCATGCAAACCAGGAGAAAACATCTGATTTGAGCCAAATTAGTTGGACATTTCACAATTTGTGAAATTCCTTTAGAAAACAACTACTTAAAAAAAACTATGAATCAATGCAGGACATAGCAGTAGCCCATTGGGAAAACATCACTCTCCTCTCACCACATTTTGTAACATGCTTTGGGGATAAGAATACTTCGTGAAAAATAACTAAGTACATTTACTCAAGTTTTAGACTACAGTAGGTTTTTGAAATGATTGTACTTAACTTGAGTATTTCCATTTAAAGCTAATTTCTACTTCTACTCTGCTACCTTTCAGAGGTGAATTACTTTCTACATATAAATACACATGATATGCTGATATGGTATAATGCAGTACTGTACTAATCTACACAGTAGCATTTAGCTTGGTCCACAGCCACAAAGCTAAAATGCTCTTGCATGTTTAAAAACAGGATGAAATGACAACCAAAATAATAAAATGGTGTGAAAAGATTAACTCTGCATAACTTTCACTGTCGATATTTGAAGTAAATTTAGCTTAGAATACTTCTTTACTTTGCCATTCTGAAATAGGTCCTTTTGCACAATGATTACTTTTGATGCCAATAGTTTTCTACTTTCACTTGAGTAACCTTTTGAATGCAGGACTTTTACTTTTAACAGAGTATTCCTACACTCTGGCACTTCTACTTTTACGTGTACAAGCTTTGAGTACTTTTTTCACCTCTGACTATGAATCAATGCAAGACATAGAAGTAGCACAGCCGTGTGAAAACATCACTCTCCCCTTTTGACATTTTGCAACATGCTTTGGGGATAATAAGACTTGCGTATTATATTCCAATGGATGTGTAAGGTTATAACAGTTAGGCGTTAAAGGGCGTGTAGTGCGTGTGACACATCCTTGGCCAGAGTGACCAATGGCGGCTGCTGGACAGTGTTAAGTGTTACGGGAATCCTGCTAGTAGCTACCCGATTTAGATCACCAGCGGAGGAGACAGCACACAAAGGGCCGCCGCCCCGTTACACAGATTACAAGACAGCCTGTAATAACACACCGAAAGCTTCAAAGATTCTAGCCAAGTCTATGTATGGTCTATTCTCGTCCTTCTGTTTAGCGGTGTAAGCTTTGGTTAGTGCCCCGTGTATTGACAAGCGGGGATGATTTGTAGGATCAGTGCGTCTCCAGCCTCGGATGTGATTTAACGAGCAACACATGATTCACACGGCCGGATATTCCAAAACAGAGGTCGAAAGAAGAACCTTTGCTAAATACTACAAGTTTTAACTTCGTGTAAATGTCGTGTGTCAGTGTAAGAATAAAGTTTATCACTTTAGCTCACCTCTTTTCGTCCCAAAAATGCGCATAAAACGATCCCTCTTCTCCTCTGCCTTCCCAGTGTTGCTATGCACGTCGCGCATGCGCAGTGCTCTAAATCTGTTTGCATCCAGCACCCATTCCACTTAGTTAAAGGGACAGAGACCCAAAATATTCACATCATACATAATGACGTTTTATAGCACTAAATACATGTATATATATTACTATATAATATAGGGTTAGCAGAATTATCTTTTGAAAAAACCTGTATTTATCTCATTGTCTTACTATAAGGGGATATTGCAAACAAATTAAGATAAATAGTTAAAATAAACATTGCATTCAATTGAAATAAAAATGTTTTCTGGACTCATACAACCCAATAAGACGAATCACATATTAGCCTTAGGGGGTTTTACAATATGTGCACACCCTATAGATAAGGAAAAAAGAAACCACAAACCTTTTTACATAGAAACTGCAGATACACTTGATGATGGGAAGATGTGCAATAGATGACATGTGTAGAATAGACAAACATACAATTACAATATAGACAGTTTATATAACAAACTGATACATGGAGTGTGAACATAAATGAAAAACATAGATCCAGAAGGTTGTCAATGGGAGGAGTTTATTTTTTGCAAGTGTTATTGTGACCACTAGAAGTCACTCTTTACTCTCTCTCTCTGTCAGCTTTTCATTTACTGAGCACTGTAGTAGTTAGACATAAGCTTTGAATGAAAAAGTGGAAGATTATGTCAGATTTCAGTCCCTTTTTAGCTTCCATTTTCAAAACAAATTACTGTACTATAACATATGATAAATATGAGGAAATCTGAAAGATACAAATAAATCCTGATTTGGATATATTGTGTAAGTTATTGCTGTTCTTGTTAAATACAGTTTCAATATGGCTCTGTTAATTAAGGTAGTACATTGGCTACAGCACCAGCAAACAATCATGTTAACGGTAAACAACTTGGTTTTCTATTCTACTAAAGTGCATCTGAAAAATACATTGACTGCAACAATGTATCCCTTTAAGTTGATTTGTTGTAACTTTTGACATTTTCATGAATTTAGAGACTTAGAAACAAATCCCACTCCAATTAATTAGATTTATTTTAATTAAACAATAGTATATCTGCCTCACATTTGTCCTCTGCTACTTTAATTGAGTATTTTTCTCACACCAATAAGCCCCAAGGTCCCCCTCGGCGGGTCCTTTTTTTTCACGACACTGTGTCTCAGGGGATCTTAATATTTAAGAACCTATTAATGTGTTATACCAGATTAACGGGAATAATCTCAGCTAACTGACGATACAAACAATTTTTACCAAAACAAAGTTTCATAAGAAGCATCGAAATGACCCCTGAGCGAAAAATGCTAACGCACAGAACTCAAGATAAAAGATACCCTTATTACTTATCGTAGCTGCACATACAAGATATCCGATTAAAGCTGAGGTTCCACAGATTATTTAGGTATATATATCATCACTGAGTGATCCGAACTCGCGACAGGGGAAGCAAACACAGACATCACAACACATACCTTTACGTAGCTTTTACGGGAGATCGTGTCACCTTAGCTGTCAATCTGATCAAAAGACTTGTTCAATGGCATTACAACGAGAAAAAACGCGGCTGAATCGGTTAATCCATAGGTTGATAATGTTTCTGTGCAATCATTTTTTTTATTTATAATCCTTAATTCCATTTTTATGTAAAAATCGGAGAGTAAAAGTTAGCTGCTAATGGTAGCCACCAGAGTTATTGCAGCTTCCGGTTTTGGCTATGCGTCAGTCTCACACACACACATTACCAAATAAGGAGTATGTGGGAGTTCCCCTCGATTCCATTGGCTCTGACGGTTAGAAAGAGATGTCAATCGGCAAAATCGAGCAAGGGGGGCCAGAGATAGGTCAAATCCACCCAAATGACCCCAGAAGTGGGGTTTTTTTTGTTGCTAAATCTCTCTACAAAGGTCAAATTTCACTTGTTTTGCATCAATCTTGATACAGGGTACTTATTATATGTTGTAGTTTGGATTCCTAAAGCTTTTAGTCTACCATCCCATCATTCAAGGGTGATTTTCACTATAAGTAATTTTTGTTTTGTTGGACGGACACAATAATTTACATTATTTTACTGTGTTCAATCTGAATTTACTTTAAAATAAAAACATCTATATTGATTCTGACACTTCTACATCCAACTCAGAGGTGTAACCTTGCTTTGAGAAAAAAGATTATTAATTTAACCCTTTTAGAAGAGAAGATATGGTCATTTGTTCTGGGAATGTCATTTTCGAGCCTGAGACCTGAAAAACAGGCTCGGGGCTTATCAGCTTGGGTACACTGCCGCACAGTTATTGATAGCAGAAACAATCAATTTTCTATGCGGCTTAACTTTTACTTAATGTTCTGTGTCAGTCGATTTAGACATTAAAATCGAAGCAGTGACATTTTGAACCTCACACACACCATTAAATATGTGTATTGCATCTGCAACTCCACGGCAGTAATGGTATACCAACGCTAAAGAGAGAGTAGTTAGCAGGGGCGGACTGGGAGGAAAAAGTGGCCCGGGGATTAATTGACAGACAGGCCCACTTAATGCGCGGCATGTATCGGCCGGCCGGCGACGAAAGTATGTTACTTAACAAAAAAACCTATGCATTTAATGTTATTTTGGACCATTATTCATATAGTAATCACATTACCTGATCCCTTGAGTTGCCTAGAGCAAAAATAGTTACAGCATATATTTATTCATTTTAATGTTAACAGATCATTGATGCAATAACATTTGGACCCAATTTGCCTGACTTGACGCATGCAATAAAACATGGGCGTAGGAAGCATCCTACATGTGGGTGAGACAATTTAACAGGGGGTATGGGCAGGTGGTGGCCCTCACCTCCTCTGGGTCCGGGGGCATGCTCCCCTAGGAAGATTTTTTTTTAAATGTTGAAGTTAAATGCATCAATCTGGTGCACTTTCTGAGAGCAAAATTAGGGACTAAATCTATGGATACATCTCTCAACACCCATATGAAACAGAACTGTAAACAGATTTACTTTTTCTTTCAACATTTATTTGAACAGCAAGTGGAGGCATAAGTGACTGCACCCAAAACAATAAACCTGCTATAACTAGCCTAAACTCAGTAACAGAATGTGGGCAACACGTTCATCTCCACAGCCGCGCGACCTCTGAGTCAGACGTCACTTCCCCCTTTTCTATCCTACGGGTACAGCCACTCCCCCTGAAATTGAAATCTCATGTAACACATTGTGTCATATTACATGACCACTGTTTTCTTTAATTTATTGGTTCCTCTCACCTGCCAGTAACCCTTTACTTTAATTTACAGTTAATTAACAAGGAGCATTTCTTTTTTAATGTAACTATCAAATTAATTTGATTTTAAAAAATCACATGTGAGTTCACAGTATATTGTTTTGTGTGTGTGTAAGAGTGTGTGTTACTGTATCAATAATTAATTCAGAGAATCTTCCCTCAGGACAAAGGATTGGCGAACTTCAATTAAAACATTTTTTTGCTGTATAAGCTTCCCCTCAGCACATTTTGTGTGTGTGTGTGTGTGTCAGGAAATTGGTTGTTAGACAAAATGTAACCTGAAGACACGGAGGAGAGAAAGAGCAGTCTAACGAGGAGTGCAAACACTTTTGCAAACACAAAGCAGAGACGTAGTTAAAAAGTGAACCAACTAAAACAAAAATGTACTCTTTCTCGATTTATATGTTATATTAAAACAAATCATAATTTACTCTTTTGTTTGCCTCATGATGCCTGCATTTGATGGCTGCATGCTGCAATATTCTCCATAAGCTTTTTTAATTTTAAATCATGAGGACTTACAGAACGAACAATGTAAGGTAGGCGTACTTGTACTTTACTTGAGTATTTCAATTGTGTGCTACTTTTACAATACTACATTTAATAATACTATATATATCAAACTAACTGCACCTTTACCAGCTTTGATAAACATTTGCCATGCCATACTGCATCAATAATAATAATACTCACAACATATAATATAGTATTCTGAAATGGACTAATTTGCATAATGAGTAGCCTACTTTTACTTTTATAGTAAGGATAAGTAGGCCTATATGTTGATGCTAATACTTGTGTAGTTTTACAACACGGCCCTGAACGTTGGATTTTAACCCATTGACATTTAAGTTGACTTTGACACACTGGTAGTTTTACTTTAAGTAGGCTACAAGATCTGAGTACTTTTCCCACATCTAGTTACTGGTAGTAGATCTCGGCACTAGGACCCAGCAGGTGCAGCCTGTGTTATCTCAGCGGTCTGCAGAGCGCGGTCCCGTCAGCAGAGCGCGGCTCAGCGGCAGCAGCGTCTCTTGACTCGGGACGCGCAGAGAGCAGCGGCTCCCCATCCTGACCTGCTACCCACAACACGGGCACGGGCAGGGGGGACAACCACAACTTTGACTCCTTTTGTGGATCCGAGGAACAACACAGACCCACACAACGCAAATGTTTTACTTATTTTTCATTTATTTTTGAATGAGTAAGATACTTTAGACATGTCTTCATCCGTGAGCGGCACAGAAGAGGTCCGGGTGTCCGTGTTGACGCCCCTGAAGTTGGTGGGACTGGTGTGCGTCTTTCTTGCCCTGTGCCTGGATGTCGGGGCCGTGTTGAGCCCAGCGTGGGTCACTGCGGACGACCAGTACTACCTGTCCATGTGGGTGTCCTGCTGGAAGCCCGTCAGCTCCGCGGAGTGGTCCTGCAACAGCACGCTGGCCACTGGTGAGACACACTCTCATGTGCCCGAACACACACTGATTTATGGTGGCTGATGGGGTGATGAGCCACCATGTTGTTTTGGAAGTTTTAAACCAGTGGATTGTACATGGTAGTTGTAGGTTTAGGGATGTTTCCCCCTTGAAATGTCAGATTTCGAGGTGCAGACAGACACCCACACTCATATTCAAATTAAGTCAGAGGGATAACAAAGAGTCCCTGCAGACAGTGCACTGCTGAAGCAATCTGTGGATGAGAATTATAAAATATCACCCAAGAGAGTGCTAAATGTAATTACTTTATAATTAGTTATTGCCTGCTTAATTTAAACTCCAGAACTTCTTTCTACATGCAATAAGATAGTGAGCAATTGGCTGTTCATTGCTACCTTCCAAGTGGGAAATTAAACAAATACTATACATTTATCCTTGAGTCATCAATAAGACATATTTGGTTTGTCTATCTAGGCTAGTTAACTTTTCTTCTAAAACAGTTGTTCACCACTGAATGATGTGGGAATGTTGCTTTGCCAGGAGCGGGCCAGCTGGGGTTTCATTTGGCCTTTTGTTGCTCACAAAATGAGCCTTTGTGTGGGTTTCTTCCCCGGCCAAGGAGCGAGGGCAACTCAGAGCAGAGAACTCCCCAGAGGTCCAGATGCCTGGAGATTAGTAACCAGGGTAACACAAGTGAAGCACTCCAGAAATGCTGATATTCCCCTATTTAGGAAACTCCTTTACGGATATCCCATGAAGGTTTATTTCTGGAAGCATTTCATATTTTCATCACAATCATTCATTCAGGAATGTCATGTGGCTAAGAATACCATAGATAACATCTGCAAAAATCAATCATGAATACAGGAAAGCATTAATGTATGCCTTGTTGTGACAACTATAAAATCGAATGTAATCCAATACAGCAGCCCTGCAATATGTAATTCAAACGGGTTTCGCTAGATGTTACACATTGGGGCTTTTCTGTAAAAGGTGAAACTGTATTGTAAGGTGGACAATGAATCTAAACAATTCCAGTATAATCGAGTCAGCAAACACAACAATAGCCTCAAACACGAGGAGATAAGAAAACAGTTATAAGCTTGCTAAAGGTAGTTTGCAGGGCTTTTTAGGCAGTTATATAGTTGTGTTTGGATGTTTTCTGCAATATAACTTATCCTAATTAACGCTTAATATTGTGATAATTATCCAATATTCTTTTCTTTGGGTAAAAGTTGTCTAAACTCTATTCTGGAAAGAAATGTAGCTCTATTTTACAGCTTCTTTAGTTATGTCATTGTGTGTATGTGTGTCTGTGTGTGCACCTATATATAGCCTATAATTCATTTTTGGCTGACCTCCTCCTGTGCTCTGAGTGGTAAATTGTGTTTTTGTTAGTCTGACTAAATGTTTTCTTTCTGTCTGAGAGATGAGTAACTGTGGGTCACGCTGGCCCCGATCCTCCTCTGTCAGCGGAGACAAAGTGCACTTTGGTGCCATATAAAGACATGCAGTCTCCGCGTCAGCTCTCAGCAGCGGCAGCAGCATACCACAGTAAATGCACACAGCAAACTGCCCATTTCCTCAGGCGTGTGCTTGGCAGGCTTATTGATTTGAATCCCAGTAATCAGTTTCTACCCCCCTCTCACCAGCCCCCCATGATTTCCTCAGTGTCATGCTCTGGGCATTAAATAAATCCTTTTAGTTAGAAACACCAGCTGGCCTCTTAGATGTTCTGAGCTTGTTCTGCAAGGCATGTCTGTGTGAAGTTGAAGGCAGACATGACATATTGCCTTGTGACATGCTCGTGAAGTGTTAAAAATATACAGTCTCATATAGTAATCCTCCTCTCTTCCAGTTGTTCTACCTCACACACATACACACACTTAGGCAGACGGTCCGAGGTCAAGTAGAAAAGATACAGACTTTACAAAATTAGGAATGTGGAACGGTCGTGCAAGAGAAGTGTGTTTGGATGCCATGTCGGTGCGAGATGAAGGACGAATGTGGACCCAGTGTGTGAGCTCAGTCAGACGCGGTGAAGCCAAAGCATATTAATAATTGAATACGATATTGATCCCGTAGTTGGGTGACTGTCTTGTCTTTGAGGGAGGTCAGAGCACTAGGTTGGACACAGAGAGCTTGTAAAGGTTCAGCGTCCTGCTCACAGACATTGGACTCATGGACTTCAGGTTGATTAACTTCATGCTTCTCGAACTTTCCATCTTCCTGTCTTGAGAGAGCGAATCTAAACTGTTGTGTGACAGCAAGAGAGACACTCCAGGCTCTTCTGTGACACAGATCTTCCACCATTGTCTCAGACAAAGAAACAGACCCCAAAGGATCGATTAATACTTAAGCAGTGCCTGACATGCACACATGGGACCATAATTAATGCTCAGATTGGATCTTGTGTACTGTATCTCCTTTTCCATCTGTCATCATGCGGGGCTCTGATAAATAGTTTGGCGCTTCCTGCTCGTCAAAGCCTTTAAGCACTCAGACTGGCTGAGTTTCTGGCACAGCGCAAAGGGTCTGTTCCAAATCTGAGATGAGATGACTTTCTGCATCCTGCTGTTTCAGAAGCGCACTGATAAGGCTTTCGGTTGCAGGCTGGCTGAGCTAAAGGCACCGAATAGACCGAGAGAAGATATCTCACCAGTGATAGGCTCTGACAACTGCGGGTCAAGTCACTGTGGCCCTTTGCTGAGAGAAACCAGTGAGGCAGTGGTACAGAAAGTCAAGGGGTCAGACTCCAAGGGGGCCTCGTGTTGAGCAACTTGAGGCCGCAGGGTGCAGGAGCTCTGCTTTTTGTGGGCTCTTTTCAACATCCTGTGGTGACAGGACCCATTTTTAAACTCTAATTCCTGAGCCATATTTGGTCAGAAGTAGTTGATGTTTGTTTATATTTGAGCTGCTTGGCCCCTGGAATAAAGTTTCCCTCAGCCAAGAGTGGGAACTGTACTTTAAGCTGCTTATGTTCAGGGACGCTCTCTCTGCTAGTTAATGATAGGAGATATTCTTGGCAATGCTTTATATTTCCTGGGCTCTATAATATATGTACTTATATACAAAAAAGACAAAACATACTCTGAACTAAAGTCTTTCAATTCTCCACCCACTGTAATATTGGACCACTTACATAAATCCCTTTATGCTTTGATGTTTTTTATTTTCCCCTCCCACTGTACTTTGAGTGATTTCCTCCGGTGTAATCAAATGCTCCATCATATCCTCTGCTTGTTTACCAATGGACCTCCTGCTTCCGTAAGTACACAGTAAAACTACGCAAGAGACACATAATCCCTGAACAATAACATATAGTGTGTCTCTCAACAATCCTAAGTGAATTGTCCCGAGGCTAATTAAGTTTCCCAACATTTTTTAATCAAATGCAACCTTCTGTTTAAGTTTTTTTTAAAAGAACACAGCAAAATGTTTAGTTTCTCTTATTTTGACAAACACAGTCCCATTTTGTTCACTTTTTTGTTGTTGTTTCCGGTTAGGCATTCCAACAAGGATAGGAAGTGGGATTGAAACAGCACTTATTTCCAGTTGAGTGTTTTTGGAGTAAATCTGAATGAAATGCTGAGAATGCTGCTGAGCTGGCATCAGTCAAGAGGGGGGGATACTCATTATCTGAGTCACTTCACTGAAGCTTTTCTGCTGCATTGGGATCCATTACTGAACCTGCTGAAATGTGTGCGTAGCCAGGCGTGTGTACGTTTGTTTGTTTCCTGTCAGACCGAAACTGCTGTGCTCGGTTCCAGGGTTATTCACCGCATGGTTCACATTCTTTATCTTCTTCTTCTGCCACTGGCTATGGATCCCCAGTGGCTCATATCAAAACATTATGAGCCACCAGCAGCTTTCAGAATGTGCTCGAGGAGTTGTCTCAGCCACAAATAGTCTATGTATACACTGTGGTAATTTACCAAAAACGTTAGTGGGTGGAATAATATGTCTCTTGTGTGAGATTGAGCATGGCAGTGTTCCTGCGGTTCACCAATCTGGCCTGTGACCTATCCTGTCCTTTTATCCCTCCTTGTCTATCTATCTATCTTTCCTCCCTCCTGTCAACAGAGCAGACACGGCTCTCCAGAGTAACCTCGTTTTAGCTACCTTTGTCACTCTATCTCGGTGTGATAACATGCCTTACCCCCCCTGCTCTTTGTCCCTGTATGTGTGTGTTTGTCTCAGACTGGCAAATTGCCATGCTGGCCTTGCTGTTGGGGGGTGCGGCCCTCACCCTGATCTCCTTTCTGGTGGCGCTGATCTCCCTGTGCTCCAGCTCCAGGAGTCGCTGCTACAAGGCTGTGTCTATCATGCTGTTCTCTGCAGGTACGTCATTTATTCTGAAGAAGGAAGAGCTGAAGGACATAGAAAAAAAAAATAGAAAACAATCACTGTTCGATTTCCAGTCAGGCACCAAAATCCTTCATTACTCGAAGATAGTTATAGACTCTTCTTGCACTATTTCATTTGTATTTACTTGCACATCTCAAAACATTCTCTTGCACTAGTTTATCTGTTGTATGTGTTCTATGTCCTATATGTTGCACTGTTGGAGGAGCCTGTGTAGCAGAGTGCCTTGGTTCTCCCTTCTTGTAAGCTGCTCAGTCATGTTTTATATATGCTTGTATTAACCAAACAGCTTTTGACATCGTCCTGTTTCCTTCCTGTTTTCCTCTGCAGTGTTGCTCCAGCTGTGCAGCTTGGTCCTGTTCCCCATCAAGTTCATCGAGACGGTCAGTCTGAGGGTGTACCACGAGTTTAACTGGGGCTACGGCCTGGCCTGGGGATCCACCATCTTCTCTTTTGGAGGCGCCATCCTCTATTGCCTCAACCCCAAGAACTATGAAGACTACTATTAAAATATGTTTAAAGAAAGAGAAACTGAGACTCTGCTTCAACCCGATGTCCTCTCAGCAATATGAACTCTCGTCTGTTACACAGTGCACAACCACAGACTAGAAAAAGAAGAAATACAAATGCTTATTGTTAGTTTCAGGACTGGAAATGAGCTCTTTCACTTGATACTGTGAACTAATTGTCCAAAAGACTACCCTCACTCATTGAACCGAAGCCTCGTGCTTTCTCAGAAGGTTTGGCAGCAGACCTGACTGAAAAAAGAAATCTAACCCAGCCTGTGTAATTTGGGAGAGAATGTCAGCACTTGCATAACTCTGCTTCCCCTTTAAGGTGAACTCCAGTGGGTCTCAGATTTGGGCAGAAAATCTGAAAGAAGCAGATGGAGTCACTGCCCCCATGCCATGAGGAATGGGTGGAATAATTAACCAAGCAGAGCAGAGAATGATGTAAACAGGGTCCAATCAGGGAAGCCAGGGTACCATGGAGGAACATATCCTATTTAAGTCATATCATGAGAAGTAGGAAACACAGGGCACACCTAAGGAAGTGCTACATTTCTCCAGAGATAAACCACAACTGGAAAGAGTGGCTTTAAGTTCTCTTGTCCTTTTGAGTCTATTAAAAGCCTCAGAGGCGCTGCTTATAAACAGAAGCTACCTAACACAGTGAAAACAGTCCACAGCCACCCTCCAAATGATAACATACTGGTGAGAGGAACATGTACTGGTTAATGAATAGCACAGCCTTTCACATGTAAACAGTGGGGGAACCTTTGGCAGCCAATGTAAACCTGCAGCCTAAAGCAAGTCATACCTGCTTTTTGATAACACCAGGTTGTATTATATGTAATAATAAGCATAATATTCTCATTACAAGGAGACCAGTGGCAAGATGATGGCAAATGAACGTGTCTGCCGAGTGTGTGCGCATGTCTGCATGAACATACCACCCAGCATGCCCTGCTCACACACCTCCCCATGTGATGCCTCCTTATCTTCACCCCCTGTAGGGAATGGGAATGCTCTCACTAGAAGAGGCAGTAAATACACAACACATTTCATACAGGGAGATGCTGTAGTATAAAATCATTCTAGTTCCTCAAAAGTAAGTACACTTAGTTTTTGCATCTAAATTAAAGTCCATGATAAAGTACTTTAAGAGATGACCGAGTGTGCTGGTCCTGCACTGGTAATAACATAGCTTTTCAAACCTCATTCAAGTTCTCCAACCCCCTCTTGCAACATTAGTGCAATGAGTGAGTGTGTGCATTCCCCTACCATTAGCTGCTGTGTTTCTGATTCCCACTGGTTTGATTACTTGCATAATAAACATGTACTGAAAAAATAGGTGTGTTTGTTTCATGTGAGGAAAAAGGAGCATCTGGAAATTATTAAAAAAAACTATGCCGACATGCCAGCTGTGCATGGTCAAGTCACATAGAATCAGCTCCTTTATTAAGTACAGCAAGTTGAGGCATTTGCACAGGAAATCAACATCTTCTGAACACGTAATACAGGGTGGCATAATATGCATAGAAGTACCAGGGACATACTTTTATGCAAATGTCTTTAGTGTTCTTCTTTCAGTGAAATTAGCTCTAATACAGAGCCGGATACAGTGTACAGTCTACATTTCGCATTACTCAGAATGTGTATAGCATTGCTTTCATTGTTCCACTGTCAGAGTCCTAGATTAAAGTGGAAGTGCCTCCATGTTGAGTTCAGGAATGGACGCAGTTGTGTAAACGGGGCAGTCACTCTTTCTGCATGGAATGTTCTCTATGTAAACCGCTGGCTCCTCCTTCTCAACCCTCATTCCCTTTGACCTTTCCGAAGCCCCGACCCACAAACTGCCGGAGTTGCTGCGTTCCAGTCCCTCTTTTTACACATTTTCCATGATAAGAGGCTCCAACTGCCCTGAATAAGAATCATCATCCTCCAATGGAAATAAAGGGTCAAAGTGCACAGGAGTAGTAGATGAGAGCAGGACAAGTGGGCACAGAGGGAAAGTGGCTCTTCCTCAGCAGGTAAGAGGGGCTTGTATATTGATTGACAGGGAAAGACCTCTAGACAGAGGGGTGGGGATATACTATCCAATGTTCGGCAGGGGATAGGGCGGGGGTGGGCAGTACAGCGCTAAGCTCAGGTGTAGCGCGGCATCTCGCACTGTTCACAGCGGTTGAGGGCGGGGTGGTTGAGAAAGGTGCAGCTTTCACAGTTCCAATGGGCTCCTTCGAAGTCCTCGTCCCTCTGGGGCCCCGGCACCGGCACCGGCTTTGGGCCCGGCTCTCCTTCAAACAAAAACATAGGAGAGGCCATATATTAAAAAGGGTGTTTATAAATGTGATAAAATGAATAACCCAAAAATGTAAGAGTCGTCAACTTAGGGCGGGAAATTAACCATGGCTGTCACTGTCTGTATAGATGTTGACAGAGTAAGAATTCACTTAATGGCAAGGTTTCTAGTCTCGTTTCCATGGCAACACATTTCTGGAGACCAAAAAGTCATTTCAGGTTTTTGTCTCGGTTTTTCAAATAAAATGTTTCAAATCTTGAATGTACTGCAAGACAAAGGGGACAAATACTGTTAGTGAGCAATGACCCAACTGGTCACGCATAGAAACTCAAATCTGTTCCTTAGCAACAGGTTAACTTATGATCAATTTACAGACCTATTTTTTCTTCCCTTCTTTACAAATCCCATTGAAAAACTCTCATGACTCACTCTTATGTTGTGAAAAATTGAAATGTCTCACCTTTCTTTCCAGGTTTGGGCGGCACAATAGGACCGGGCTGAATGTGGTCATAAAAGTTGTTCATTGCTTTTGGATCAAACTTTTCTGTGGAGGAAAACCAGAAACAGAAGTTTGTTAGGAAGTGTCCATCCTGAGCAGAGGTCTAATGCGTCCAACTGGTCTACAGCTTTTCTCTTGAAACTCCTGCCTGACTGCCGTGTTCAGACAGATGGTAACATCATCCTTATTCATTGCAACAAAGAGGAATACAAAAAAAAAAAAAAAAGATGCAGGGAAAAGCAAAAGTTAAATCCATCTCAATTTCCACAGAAACGTCATGAAACATCACCTGGCTAGTACTTTGTTAGTCAACCAAATGCATGCACTGACCTCCTCTTAGACCAGTGGTTCCCAGCCTGGGGGGCGCTCCCCCCTTGGGGCGCCAAAGATCGCAGGGGGGGCGCCAGGCCTCAGATGATTTGAGGCCAAATATCATATTTAGACTTTTTTTTTACATATAATTGTAAAGCAATACATGATTGTCATTAAAAGCCTCGTCTCTACATTACAATAAAATATAAAAAATAATTGATTAATTAATTTGAACAACAATTCAAGTTAGTAGCTAATAAAGGCATAAAGACAGAAATGTATAATTCTTTTTTTAATAGAAATGTTTCTTCTGCCCGTAAAGTGTCCAAACCAGGCATTTCTGGATAAGCGCAGTTTTAAAAACATAGTCATTGTCCATGCCGGTTTCAGTTGGATTATTTGTCACAGTTGCTCCGATCAGATCGGTCTCCTCCATTTTGAAGATTATTTACGACTTTTGAATCCACATAAACACATCGGCTTACTTTGAGCATGTGTTTTAAACAGTTTAATCCCTTTGTGAATTGTTTCCACTTGCGTAGTCTTCATACAGCGGGAATCCAAATGAATTAATCCTGAGTCCAATAACCATCAAAGTCACTCCAATAGTGCTCCTTAATTACGCTTGCATCCTCCTTTAACAAAATACTTCACATTCATCCAGTTTGTGACAGTAGTTGTAGCATTTTTGAGACTTTTAAACTTTAATTACTGCTGTTGCCCCTTGTGTGTGTGTGTGTGTGTGTGTGTGTGTGTGTGTGTGTGTGTGTGTGTGGGGGGGGGGGGGGGGTCATTTGGGGGGGCCTCTTGGGAAAAAAGGTTGGGAACCACTGTCTTAGACTCATTTGGCACATGAACAACAGTGTAGTCGTAATGCTCCCTTGAGCATTGGTTTGGTTAAATGAATGTTGCTGTTTTGACTTTCAAGAGATCAAAAATACTCTCATAGTATTATAAACCAGGTGCATTGTTTTGGCACCAATAAGACTTTAAGTGCACGAGTCTTGGATTTTTTAAAAAGCCAATTGGGTGCTTTGTCCAAATCAGATTAATCGCAACATTTTTAACAAACTATTTAATTGTCTGCTTGGATGCATAGTTTTAGCAGCATCAAAAATATATATAGGCCTAACGGCTCCAGGCTTGCAGTTAAAGTGATTAACTGATTTATTTTTGCAACTGGAAGGAATTTTCTGCAAGGAAAGTTCTGAAGTTCAATGAACTGCTTTGTGAAGCTGAGCTCAAAAAGGTACGCAAAGATCACTCGCACAAATTACACTTTTAACATAATTTCCACAAAAGGCCTACAACACCATCCATTCATTCCACACTACACATATTATTTCATCCCTCCCAATATTATTATTAAATAGATTTTTTCCCCCAATAAATAAAACCGGCCGAAGACTCAAATGTCAAATACCAAAAGTAACAAAAAAAAAGAAATCTCTGTAAATAACAGAAAAAGGTAAACACAGCTGTGTACACCTGTGTAACTTTTAGGATACTAACTTTAAGCTTGCATTTATTCTCTGCCACTGATCACATAAACATGCTTAGCTTATAGTGTTTAGAAATAAAAATAAAAATACAATGCATCCAAAATACATAGGTTGAGACTGAAGGGTTGTCCAGCAAATCCAATTATTTTGCGGCAGCTTTTTTCCTGCACGTTCTACATTGACAGAGCAGGCCATTCATAATACCCAGTGTGAGAGGGGCAACGGTGAAGGAAGTCAGCATTCAGATGCTCAGAGAAGAACCATTGTTTACATAACAACTGCTGCCCGGGTGCTTCATCATTTACAGCTTTATGGAAGAGTGGCAGAAAGAAAGCCAAAACAACTTGCATGACATATCAGCCAGTGTTTGCTAAAAGGCTTTGTGAACACTGAAACAAAGTGGAACAATGCTCTGCGAGTTTTCAGGCACACCACCATCCAAATGTTCATGGGCACTGGGCTGGTTTTAAGTAAACTCGTGACAGTCTTCAACCTGCTGCCAGTTTGACTGTTTCAGCTTCCAAAAACAACACTTCTTGTAAATATGTTTCCACACACTGTGGTTAATATCAGGGCAATGCCGTTATCAATTACACAATCAACAATGACCACGTACCGAACACTGTGCATGAACCCAATAAGGGTCAACCTTGCATTGGCCCAGGTCCTGTCACAGACTGGTCATTTTTGCATCAGTGTGCACTGTGCAGTGTGATGGAGCCTCGTCCATCAGTTAAGAGCCAGCTCTGCCTGCTGCGGGGCTTGGCTCTTTCAAGATCAATGCTTCAAATGAATCAGGGACACACTTCAAAGACTTATGTCGCAATGTGCATTTGTGTGCGTGCGTGTGTGTATGTATACCTCTAGACTGCAGTAGATCCGTCTCCTTCAGGGAACAGTCGATATCAATCTGAAGTTTTCTGTTCAGACTCCGCAACCGAGTCATCTCTTCAGGCTGCAGCCGGCGAAAACACACAACCCAGTTCAATTAGAATACATTTGGGGAGTAAAAAATAAGCAAATATTCCCCATCTCTCCTTTCGAACTTTGTCTTACTCGTAGGAAATTGTTTCGAACATTAGTTTGTATGATTGGTATGGCAATTTCTCTGGACTTTTCTTCACCTTAAATGACGTTTTTAAATGGCAAGTAAAGCTTGATTTTTTATTCTAATTCTGCCTTTTAAAAAACACACATGACTTAGTCCAGTCTAAAATATTCCAAATACTGAACTAATTATAGTTTCCCAGCCTCTTGTTGCACCTTATCTTATGTGATCATGTCAAATAGCACCAAAAGGTTTGTGTTGAATAAGACTCACTCTGGGTATAAGACTGGTGGAGTTGACTCTTCGAAAGCGCCTTTGAAGCGTGTCATATTCCATGTTGTTGACATCGGCCTTCAGGTTTTCTAGTTTCTGCTTCTCCATGAGCAGCTCCTTCATTAGACGCTCCATCCTGGCACGTTGGTGGAGGAGGAGAGCTGGGGGACACACAACAAACACAACATTCTTGAAATTGGAAAATAATAAAAAATATATTTCATATAAAACCTTTTTTCTCACTTAAGGGCATTGTAAATACTCCATGTGAAAATAAAAGCAACCCTCACATTGATATACAAGGGCTGAATAAACTAGTAAACACATCTTGTGAAAAAAACCACGAAAAAGGCAGCAACACTGACAAATTGTTGGCTAACTCGCATGTTGACTTCCACAGAGGTCCAAAAGCACATCCAATGTAAACACTGGCAGAAGGTCAAACACTTGCAGCGCAACGGATAGTAAGACAAACAGGAAACCCTTACCTTGTGTGTAGGCATAGTCATCGGAGCCTGAGCTTGAACGTCGGGGCATGTGCTGAAACTGACTGACTATGTTGCCTGGCAGAGCGGAGATGGGCAGGATGGGTGCAGGGGCAGCGTTGTGCTCCCCTTGGTCTACTATGTTGAGAAGAGACTCTGCTTCGGCAACAGGAGGCGAGCTGAGCGGCCTCTGGGGCTGGCCCCCTGGGGACACTTGGATTTTGAAGGTGTATGCAGACTGGCCTGGCTGAGGAGAGGAGGCAGGCCGGGGTCTTGCAGGGCCTTGATGCTGTAGGTACATCCCAGGATGGAAGGCTGCTTGGCCTGAAGGTCCAATCATAGTGATGCCCCTTGAAGGGGAGCTGGGCGAGGGGCTGGTGGCCATGTAATGTGCTCCCTGGGGGGTGGGGGGTGTGCACAGGTGAGTTGCTGCGAGGTCGCGGCCCCTCCATGGTAATCTCTATCTGGTTCTTGAGGGGGGTTTTTGTGTGGTAGGGCCTATATACCGCTTGCTGTTGCTGGGAATGTTGCTGGTGATGAAAGGGCATGCTGGGAACGGTTGGGGAGCTAATGGGGAGGAAGACATATTGCTGGTGCTGGGGTTGCGGATGGGGCTGTTGTTGGGGCTGGACTTGATGCTGAGGGGAGCTGTAAGGTGAGCCGTATGTGGGAGTACTATAGGGAGACTGCTGATGCTGATACACTGGCGCCCCCGACGAGGACCAGGGGGCCGGCTGTGGGCTCTGGGAGGGTGAGGGTCGGATATACAGGGTGGCATTGTTGTTGTTACAATAGTGCCCAGGGGGGATCTGCAGGGCCTGTGGGATATTGGGTATACTTTGAGGAATTGTGACTGTTATCGGGTTCATAGTGTAGCGTGGGACAGGGGTGTATGTGGGAGACATGCCCTGCATTGTGGGCGGAGGAGTGGGAGTGCTAGCCGAACGGCTTTGATCGTTCATGAAGAAGGGATTGTATCCTGGGGAAGGGGCCATAGTGGCGGGGGCTGACAGTGGCTCAGGGTAGCTGGGTCGCTGCGGTTCGATGTGACTGTCACTGGTGCTGTGCACAAGAGAGCGCCCTACTCCTGCTGCCCCTCCATTTGTGTTGCTTGCATCTGAGCCCGGGTATCCAGGGCTAATGTGCAGCATGTGATTTCGATTCAGTAGGCCCTCATCTGGACTGTGATGGAACTCTCCATACAGGTATCTGTTACTCTCCTGAGCCAGCAGGTGGCAGCAAAGATCCAGGTTATTGTTGTTCTGAGAAGGCAACAGTGAACAATGTCAGTTATGCAGTGCAGATCAGTCATAAGGAAACATCATAAGGTATACTATTATTAGTGCAAACACAGGAAGATATTGTTCTACGGACAACATAAATGTCCAAATAGCTTTTTCTGAGCATGTGCATGAAAAAGGTGTGCAATTGTGTGTTTACCTGCAGCAGGCACTGTGACACTACCCCCTCTGGGATCTCTGGGAAACGCTGCTTGAGGTCCTGCAGGATGTGGTAGTCCAGCTGAGAGCCTCCCTGCGCCATCCTGAGCCAGCACAGAGAGTCAACGAGCCCAGAGCTGCAAACGCTGAAACAACCGATCTCCGCTCATCTCCTGAATGTATAGAAATGATTAAAAACAAAACTGAAGACAGAACTCAAATGTCGTGGGAGCCAATAATCCCATCAGCACTGTTGGCCTGCCAAATGCTTGTCACACACCCAAATGTGTCAGCAGTAATTACAGCGAACACATAAACTGAGTTGTTTTAGTGGGCATGTCCACCTGAAACAGAAATACCCACGAAGAGAGGTGAAACAACCCGATTCAAACACACGAACACAGAGAAAACACGCCGGTGTCACTGTCACTCGTTCAAATCAGCACATGATAGCTAGCAAGGTGCCTGTCAGTCTGTTGTTGTTTGTTTAACCATACTGTTGCACCGAGCAACGACGACATACCAGTGCTAGCTAGCAGGCTAGTTATCAGTATCTGTTAGCTTCCGTGCACCACTCAAACAAACAACCGCACCTGTGTGCAGTGTGGCTACGACAGGAAATCAACAATCCAGTGACATTGTCCGATGTTACCCGCCACTAAGCCAGCAGCACACTCCCCGAAACAAGTCACCTGTTTAAACGAGATAATTCATATATTTCACTGCCTGCCAGCTAACATTGCTAATGCTAACCTTAGCTTGGTGCTGTTGGCTGGTCAGCTGTCACAAGCCTGGGTGTTGATGGATTATCTAGCTAACCATGCTAAAGGCAGCGAGCGTTAGCCACTGAATGCTATATAAAAACTCACCATGTGTTAGGAGTCTCCTTCATGTCTCGGACCATAGCTGAGTCCTGTGGAGAGCTGTGATGTTTCTGCAATGTTACGCCAAGATTTGTCAATAATTTGTTTTGACAAAACAACTTATAGTTTCACATTCCAACGTCAGGCCGCTGCCGCTGGGCTGCTGTCTATCTATCGCGATAATGTCAGATTTCCCGGACCAGGAAGTTGTTCAAATCGGCTGGATCGACGCTGCCGCTACTGCGCATGTCTGCAAGCAGTGCGTCTCTGATGATAATGTGGCAGAACTTAAACCTTGTACTATTTTCTACTTCAAAGCAACACATGTTTCCTCGAAAAAAGCTCAATTCCTATAGATTTGAAGTGTTTCCACAAACTGGAACTCTTAAATCTATTCTGCCTATGCCAATTCCCATTGTACATATGTTTAACACATATGAAGATGATCAGTGTTGGAGAATGCGGAAGAAAATGTCTGCTAGACCTTTTATTATTATTATTATTATTATTATGTAATACTTATTAATTAATTATACATTAAATGTTTAGGTTGTTCCTCTTATAAGCTAAGAGATGTTTTCCTCCAGAGAGAAATGATTCCTGCAAATATGAATTAATCCAACAAACTTTATTCAGCCATATCATAAACTATTATTATTGACCTGAAATTAAGCCATCATACTCAAAAGCTTTACTATAATTAAAAATCATGCAATTAAAACGTTGGTTCAGTAAAAGTGTTATACAGTCAAATGTTGTTTTACTAAATGCTTTTGGAATACTATTATTGCTTCATGTTTAGCATTGTGATACTCCTTTGTATACTGTTGGGCAGTTTGATTTTCAGAATACTAATCCAAAAAAGGTCATCATATGTTTGTGGGAGAACCACTTACCATTATTCTCAAAAAGGAGGATGAGCTCTCAATTACTTAATCCTGAAAGAAGTGTGTGTGTGTGTGTGTGGTGTGTGTGTGTGTGTGTGTGTGTGTGTGTGTGTGTGTGTGTGTGTGTGTGTGTGTGTGTGTGTGGTGTGTGTGTGTGTGTGTATGTGTGTGTGTGTGCGAGTGCGTGTGTGTATCTCTAATAATATCATGTCATATTTGACATGCTTGTGTGACTCTACAGTCTGCATGAGAAGGGATCAGTCACCTGATCTAAATTCATTTTTGCATGACTTGATACTAGTTTGTGGCACGCTGACATGCACTGACCACACTGTAATGTGATCAAATGAACAGAGAGGATGTAGCCATGTGGTAAATATCTATTTATCTTATTACCCATTCAGTTGTTCAGGCTACTTTAATAAAAACAAAAGAGAGAGAGAGTTAACTATAATATATGGAATGTGTATTAATAAGAGATTAACTAGTACACAACATGTGGTTGTTAACAAAGAGATCTACAAGCACATAATGAAATGCTGCAACAGCAAAGTCAGGATTTTGTCGTCAGAGGCACTTGTCTGTGTTTTCACTAGAGGGCAGTGAGAGATCATTTAATCCTGCACAAACACTCACACTTAAGACAATAACAGGAAGGAACTTAAAAGGGTGTCTCTAAAGAAAAATGTACACTATGATTCAATTTGTTTAACAGTCGAGAGGGCAAATACGCATTTTCCCACATGATTTCTGCAGATTAAGGCAAGGACAGTAACATGAAAGTCTTAATTATGTAATGCCAGTGCATGTGACCAACAGTTGAGTGCTGCACAATTACAGTATATAGCAATCTTTATTTAGAGATTGTGGTCATTCATGGATAACGCTGCTGTTAACAGTCTCTCTGGGTTGTCATTAAGCCACTAATTCAAAAGTATGTCTCGCCTATGCCAATGCCTGTTAGCTGAGAGGGCTGACATTAGGATTTTGAATACTGCACACATAGGAAAGACACAAGGCATTAGACCATTTCAGACCAAATTATATATTTGTTATGTAATCAAACTTTAAACGTTTGAAGACAAAAAGGTATTTTCTCTCACTGTGTGCCTTTAAAGTGACTTGTTAAGAGTGTGGTGTGCTCTTTCTACAGGGCACCTGTTCTGTATAGGGGTTGCTGTTATTTTCTTGTTATAGTCAAAGCTCTGAAATTCTCAAATGTATTCATTGCTTGTGAAGTTTAAGAGAGAAACGGCTAAAAACGTTGTGATTGTATGCATACAAATACTGAGTGATCATATAGATACAATAGTTGAATTAACTGGGTGAGATCAGATTTAGACGTTAATAAGAAATAGTTTTTATTGCATCAGGCAGGATTCCACTTGATGAATATGTGTATGTGCAGTGTAATTGATTAAAGTGAATGAAGTCAAGTCTCTTTGGTAATGCAGTCTGATATTTACTTTTGAAGCTGAGACTGTTCAATAGAGGTGCAGACAGATGGCATTATGTGTCCAGCGACCACCAGCACATGGTACAGTTTTGACCAGCTGAGCCACTCTACCGAGTTTTCATCAGGGGGGGTGGGCTGTACCACCACAAAAAACATTTATAGGGGTGTCAGGGCAGAGCTGCAGCAGCTGAGGCCCGGTCTGACTCAGGTTAGCTGTCCTTGATAAGTCGCCACAACTGTGGTGCTATTTAAAGCCGCCCCTTGTTGTCCCTGATGCCCCGCAGGACTCAGAACAGAGGAGGACGGAGCCCCTTTAACCCGAGAGTTCAGAGAACAGACCCCCCCACACAATACATGCCTTAATCTGAGCAGGAAGTGTACAGATGACAGGGGGGAACGAGCCCTTCAAAACAATCACAAGTCCATACGGTGCAGATAGGTAAACCAATTTCATGTTTAATGTTCATATTTAACTTTCAAAAGGCTTTGTTAAGGATTATTAGAAATCAAAGAGTCAAACACATGTCAAATACAACAACATAAATTAGAAGTTCACGCTACCTTACACATACGTTGGCTGGAGGTCTATTTATTTTGTTCAGATTTGTTGAATTGTGTGCATAAGGATGTGTAACTTTTTGCAAGTGATGAATAGCAGCTGTCTTCAAGTTATTTCAACAAATGAATCCCAAATCTTTCCCATTTCTTTCTCTTCCAATCCTGCTCTGGCTCTCAGATTTCACAGCACAGTATTAGCCAAAGCTTCGGCCCTCTTGTTGGGGGGGTTTCCCAAAGCCTCACCACCTCCAACTGAACATAGTGAGCATTTCTGACATTTGTAACCCTCACTGACATTTACCTTTAACCATTTAACCATTCTTAAACAAATCATGTAATACATTGTGCAAAACAAGGTTTTAAATATAAAGCAAATTATTATTTAGGCAGTGATGAAAAGTATCTGACAACCTGATCAGAGCGGAGGTGTGCCACTTCTCAAATACATCTCTATAACATTCCTTGAATACTTGAATGGGGACTTTACCATGGATGTACTTGGTGGGTTTTCTGCATGCAGCCTTTTGGCCAGTGAGTCAGCAGCTGTGCACGGAGCCATTAGAGCAGGCAAAATGTGTCTGCTGCAGACTTTCTATTTACATCCACCCTGTTTTAGAGAACTGCTTTCTCATCTTAGTTCAAGTGAAGACTTAACCATCATAACTCTGAATAATGCTGGGGGCCTATATGGATTTGCTCTGGATGACTAGATGGGCCAATATAAAAAAATGGTCATGCAGCTGTGCATGACAACATTGTGAGCTCCAACCGTCCTTGCATAGCAAAGTGACAGCAACATCTAAGGTAGGTGGGAAAAACAAAGGTCAAGCAGGTCTCCCTCTTAACTGATAAGTTGGGCATTTTGGCTCAGGCCAACATAATGATAATGTCTGTCTGCATTTAGATTGCATCCCAAAGAGACCTGACGAGAAGAGTGTCCAGTTTCTCTTGAGCCAGACAATTCAGAATGTATTTTCTTGGTAATACCTTCCTCGTAGAATGAGATTTTGTATGGCAAGGCAAGTTTATTTATAATGCACCTTTCAACACAAGGCAATTCAAAGTGCTTTACAAAAATGAAAGACATTAAGAAATTGGCATTTAAAAACAGTATTAAAAAGCAAATATAATAAAATAAACATTAAAAAAGATATAAACAAGTATATAAAAGTTACAGTGATATGAATAGTTCAATTAAAAGCAGCGGCAAAAAGAAAAGTCTTCAGCCTTCAGATTTTATTAAAATGAAAAATAAATCAGACACACACTTATAAAAAACATATTTGAAACATACATATAAAAAAGGAAATGGGACAGGGAAATGATTAACGGAAGCATGGTAGGTCAATTATAAACAACCGATGTGACTTACACAAAACTATCATTCTAAATGAATCTCTTGGAACTCAACAAACCAATGGAAGTATTGTGATCACTGTAAATATTCTGAGCCGTAATTGTTTTCATAGTTTACACTTACAAACACACTTTCAAAATCTGCATTATGAAAATATTAAAGCAATATCACAGAAAAATAAACAGTCTCAATACATTATAAACTCATTTACCAGCAACCTGGATAACATTCAGTGATTCTATACGATAAATTAACCATTCAAACACAATAACAGGACCGATCATTCTTCGTACAAGATTGCTAGAGATTTTCAAAGTCGATTATTCACAGTATTTATGCAGCTGCGAGTGACTGAAATGATATGGACCAGGCCGTGTGTGTGTGCGCGTTCACGAGGCAACAGCTGAAACTTCCAGCAGGCGTGTGCGGCATGCAGGATCCGGTAGAAAGTGACGGTACTTTTATGGAAACTGCTCGCGGACACGCTGACAGCAGCCAGTGGAGTGTGTGCACGCGGTGGTCGCATCTCGGATTGTCCTGCGTTTTTACTTCGTGTGGTTTATATCGACACAAAGGATTTCAAGGAACATTCAAACACAGGAGGACGACAGCAATCTAAAGAGGTAAACTCCCATGTTTTACAAATGTAATAAAAACATGGTTTGAAAACGATAAAATAATCTGTTCATCATGATGAGCAAGGTCAAAGATATTAGTCAATTAAAAAAGTGTCTTTTTAATGGATCATCAGACTACATCCTAATGAAGTCAGATACATCAGGTAGCCTCTGCTCTTGTTGTCAATCAACATGTGTGTGTTAGTTTAGAAACAGTTACAACTCATGTCCACAATATGTGATCAGGCATTCATAAACAGACAATAAATGCATCTGATAAACAGGTTTAGCTATAATAAGTTAACACATTACTCTGACTGAATATTTCTCAAACT